AATCAAGGCTCGTTTGATGTCCCACGCACTCCCATATGCCTCTGAGTGACGCTACTGCCGATACTGATCCGAGTAGTCTTGCCTGCGCCGTTACAATAGGTATTCCTTATTGTCTTGTGTTAGCTAGGCCAATCTAGGGCTATAGATAGATATATTATAAAATCTTACTGGTCTAATTAATTAAGCTAGCTAAACTAGTCAAGCTAGCTAGTTGTCTCGGTCTCTAGCGTTAGTCTGGTTAGTTAGTTGTTCATAACGGCGCTAGCAGGATCTAGTCTGATTTCTATTAAATGCCTCAAACATTACAAGGGTTATCGGCAACGGCTTCTTAGATTCTATGATCTAGATGACTAAGTCCTGTGATCTAGATAGAATAATACAAGAGCTATTGTTCCAGTATTAGGTATTAAAGATCTCTTTCCCCTCTGTTTTAGATATCTTAACATTTACTCCAGACATCTTCCTTACTATATCGTTTTTGATCCCTACAGCTTAGTCTCCTATCTAAACGCCTAACAGCAAACAACAATGCGTCTTCTACTTGCTATCTCAGTCCTCGCTACCTTTATGGTTGGCGAGGCAGTAGCCTGTCTACAGGCTCAATGCCTTGAATGCGCTACTGCATGTGTTTCTACTGAGTATGTCTCCTGTATAGGCTTTTAGCGTCTATTATTTAGCTCTTTACTAACTTTTCTCTATAGATGCCGTAAGTTTTGTCTATAACTATACAGATAGAAACACATACTTTATTAGTCTTTCTTGCTTTTTATATACATGATAGAACTAACGTTTTCTTCTACTACGTTTAGGGAATAAATGCATCAGGGACTTTCAGTGCCGGCCAGCCTGCAACATATAGATCGTAGCTCTATTTACTAGTTCAAGAGAGCCTGCGAGATTCAACAGGTGGATTAAGTCAATTAGGATGGAGGAAATTAGAGGGGCAGACAGGATAGAATACAGCTAGCACGAAGAGTTGGCGCAATCTAGTGTATTATATTATCAGACGAAACAAAAGACAATATCAATATAAGCCTCTAATTAAAGACTACGTTAGCCCTACTACTCTTAGACCTCTCTCTTCCTTGTTTTCTACGCCTACTTGCCTGCGCAAAATCTGTCATACTCTGCAGCATTCCTACATGCAAGATGTACACAATTCCTTGAAAGTCTATTTCTGTCTCTACCTCCAATATAGCTACAATTAAACTTCCCTGCTCTAACTCTTTCCCCTAAATCTGTTCTCCCTCCCTCTCTCTCTTTCTCTGTCCCTAAGCACGAAGCTTAACAAGCACGCTAACCTGGTTATGTCTAGCTATAGGCAGAACGCGGCGATAGGTAGTAGCTACCTATAACCAATCCGTGCGCTCTGTAGCGTTGCCAACTATCTTAGTAACAAATTTTTAAGCTTCTATTATAACTGCAACGTCAAACATCTCTGCGCGCATCTGCCTGTGGTTACATTATTCTTCTATCTTACGCCGGGGCTCTCATGCTAAGCAAGCTTAAAGACGTGCCATCGCGTAGCTATGCTACTACGACATGCTGGTGCCGCTACTACTCGGTGGTAGGTTATACGAAGACTGAAAGCATTACGGTTGCAAAATATAGGTAAAAGAGCCTCTAGTTACACCCCTTTTAGACGACAGAAGTGCAATGAGTCGCAGCGGCAGATGCTGGCAAGCATGCGCCTCCTTCTTTCTATTCAGCCAATACGAAAAGCTGTGCTGCAATACATCTCAGCCTTTGATGCTGCTAAGCTCAACCTACTGCGTCTTCTTATTCTGACCAGCTAGGAAAGAGAAAGATACTTGAGACCAATCCGCGATCTAGTTTGGGACACCACCGAACAGGAGGAGTTATCACAAGATAGCATGAGTTTAGTGCTGCTTGGCGATGCAGTATATGTGCTAAAGCAGAGACTGGGTAAAACAAAACAGTACTAAGCCACGCAAGGAACTAGGAAGCTTATGATCTTTCTTATTGGAACTTTTCCGGTGCTGTCCATATCGCCAGAACGCCTTAAACGCTTAATTAGCTTTAGTGTTCTAGAGGAGTCGAGCCCAACACGTGTACTTAGCGACGAGTTCCACCTGCGTTAAATCTAATAGGCAATCAGGTCAGGCGAGTGCAAGACGTTCTTAATGGCCTTTGGCGCCCCAATGTCACTATGCAATAGTAAGCTAAGGGGTGTTTAGTATAAGGTGTCGGACGTTCCTAATAGAACGATCAGCTTGCGGGTTTATGTTCCTACGTTCTACGACAGGTTACGCGAAAAGGTGAAGATTAATACACGCGATCTCCTGCACATTGCGAAGCTAGGCGGCCCATCCTATCTGCAGTTGAAGCGAGTATTGATGCTAGAATAGTGGACACGTATAATGTATTAGCTATGCAGGATCGTGGTAGGAAAGTCCTCTCTTCTAATAGGGATTCTGGCAGAGCAGAGTGAGGTGTCGATGCGGGGAAAAGCAGTGCTGTTAAATATTCGATTAGATATGACCTTGTTCTCTAGTCTTTACGCAGTAGTTTTGCTCTCTCAAAATAGCACATAATGAGTGCGTTGGCTGGCTACATTCTTGTTTTGTGAGTATCACTTGTAACGATGTTATATGCCTATATATATATTATACTACACTAGAATAATCAGTTCAGATTATTCTCGTGCTTACCTTTTGCTGGTGGGTTGGCTGCGGCCGAGTGGTTGTCGCGTAGTATCGACTTAGTGGGTATTGGTGCCCACCTCCATTACATCACTCACCACAGCTGTACTGTAATGTATAGAAGTACCGCTAAATAAACAGGCAAGCTCTATATTAGGTGAAGGAAACTGTATGACGATTTCGTTGGCCTATAATATAATCCACAGCACGCATTAAATACTGTTCGAGATGTCCTTTCTAACCTAAGTCTCTAATTAATAAGTAGCCTTTACTAACCTATTAATAGCGCCGTAGGAGCTTCACATGCTGCGAACACAATATTGCTAAGTTACTAAGAGAATCTAGAATAGCGAACTGACTTAACTTTACTAAGTGCCTAGCCCAGGTCGCTCTTAATCGCCTATACTAGGAATAATATATTATTAATTAAGTTTTATATCATTTAATATCCTACTTTTATCTAGCTATAAGTTATATACTCGTAACTATTACTATTTAATAAATAAAGTCCTAGCTATCTATCGCTATATTTTAATAAAGTAAACCTCGCTTATAATATACTCTAAACGCTACTATATTAATTTCAAGTTAGTAAGTATTAATAGATAGATAGAATTAGTAAAAGGTTCTTCGTCTAAGTTTTTAATAACTTGCTATTTACTTATTTACTATTTATTATGTAATGGGCTGCGCCCGTGGAGTGAAAGCACGTGATTGTATCACGTGCCTATACCACGTGTCCATATCACACCGCTTAAGTTAGAATCTACTCGTACGAAGAGTAGAGAAGCAAGGTATAAGGAGAGAGGTGTCGTACAACAACTTAACTCTTCTTATCTTTCTTCTTCTGTACTATAGGCTAATGCAAACTCGTTCGAAGGCCTCTTCGCCCATAACATATTAGCCTTTAGGTATCTTAATACGATACTGTTAGAGATTAGATAATATAAAACTACGACGTAACTTATAAGAACGCTATAGAGATTCTAGCTTATAAACTAACTATAGAAGCTAATAAGGTCGCAGCCTTAATAAAAGGTATACGTAATAAGGGTAAAAAAGAAGAGAGGTTAATGTTACACGGGGTTGGGTGCTGATACTTCTCTAAGCTCGGTCCGGGTTAGGGCGAGTGAGATGGGATGAAGAGCTCCGTGAGGTTGTCTGGCGATTCGTAGTGGAAAAGAGTTATGGATGTAACCGGGTTTGACAACGCTAATCTATTGGATAGACTAACATGTAACTATCTTGTGAAGTAACAATACTAGTAAGAAAGTACAATTTGAGTTGACCACACCGAGAGTAATAATGAAATCCATCCATCCTTATATCCTCATTGCTTCCAGTCCTGCCATCTTGCCCATCTCTCCTTGGCGAGATGGTAGAGATGGCACTGCCATCTCTCGGCGTCCTGCCATCTCAGATGGCTGGCCTTGGCGAGATGGCACATCACGTGACTCCGAGCCCCGCGATGATCCATTACCTTTTGACGTGGACGTCCCTAGGCTTTCAGCCGTCTCGTCATTTGTCAAGGAGAGAATCCTTCTTGTTACTTGTAACAGTTAAGTTTAAGCTCTAATACTACGCATCCGACGCCTACCTCTACTAGACGTAAGACTTCGTCGTCTAGAGGCTAGCTAGAGAGTTCTATATTAAGTAATATAGTTACCCCCCGTCGCAGCAGCCGCACGAGAAAGTAGAGATAGTTTAAGGGTTAAAATATAGAATCTAGATGCTCACCTATACACTTAGATTCTATAGTTAAGAGGTTAGATAAGTTAGTAGCTTAAGAAGTTTAGTATTATAATTTCTATTACTAGTTAGCTCTCTAACCACAAGGGAGAGGTCGCTTAATAGAGCTAAGCTCGTAGGTTAAGAAGATTTATGCTAGTGCACAGAGTAACTCTTATACTAACGTTATAGTTTAGCTTATAGAGTATAAGATAGGGGGGTACGCTATATATAGTAAAGGACGGCACGGAACGAAAAATTTAAAATTTAAGAAAAAAAAACCCCCCTCAAGCTTCTTATCTACTCCTCTCACTCCCTCCTCCCGCTGCGACAGTGCAGGCAGAAGCTAGGAAAGAAGCTTACGATGTCGTCCACCACTGAAGAACTTGTGGGTGTTACTCCCCCTCTTCCGGTTCAGTAGTGTAAGGTTCTTAACTACGAATATCTTGTAGAGAAAGTGTAAAGCTGAAGCAAAGTCAAAGTACCTGTTGTTCTTATCTCGACGCAGGGTTCTTTCGCTTCGCAGGGGGGAGGTTACAACAATACTACTCGCTTCCATAAATATCCATGCTTGCAATGACGTAACGCACTAGTGCCCCACCCCCACTACAGCCATTGGATCTGGACCATACATAAGGATCGTATCAGCTGCGATGGCGGCATTTTAAAAAAAGTTCAAACCTACCTATACGATATTGACTGCCAGTCTGTAAAATGGCGCTTCCGCTCGGAATCTTCCTAGGCGGCTGCGTCATCGCGATTCCTGTCGTTACAGGCGTCGCGCAGGGCGTCGAGCATCAGAAGAAGCAAAACGAAGAAGCCGCCAATGAGTCGCGCATGTGGAAATTCAACTGTCTGGTGGCATGCGATGACCCTGATCCAATAGCAAAAGAGGAGGTGGACCACGGTATTCTGGTTGTGCGCCACGACAAAGTTTGGGTCGTGCCGAGGGACGCGGATGACAAACCCATGTGGCCCGAAGGCGTGGATGGAGAGGGCAAAGAGCCACTGCATGCATTTGCGGGCTTCTACATTGCGTATCCGGATGAAGACCGCAATCCACCGGAGCGAGGATTAGTGAGCACTATCAGTGATGATCCGCCCATGCTCAACTGGATATACTGCGACAAAACCACATACGAGTTACGGTACTCGAATCGTACCGGTAGTATCATGCATCACATCGGTGTCTGGGACTGGTCAGAAGATGAGAGCCATCTCACTTTTGACGGCTGGGAAGGTTTCGTTGTTATTGACGAGTGGGATGGCGCTGACGAAGACCCTTCAACGCCTTGGGGGAGAGAAGGTCTGCGATGGGCCGTGTACTTTGACAAAGACGATAACGGTCTAAAAGGTCGGAGGAAAGAAAGAGATATGTTTGAAATTAGTCTGAAGAGGAGGATACAGAGTGCAGAAGAGCAGCTCAAGCAAAACGAGGCGGCAGAGAAGAAGATGCAAGTCAAGAGTCGGGGTGGACTCAGTACATCATTTGCGGCGCCACAGAAGGAGAGAGATAAGGAGTGGGAGAAGAAGTTTGGTCAAAAGGCAAGAGAGGAGTTGGAGAAGAAACTAGCGAGAGATAAAGAAGCAGGAGAGGGACCGCAGTGGGAAAGAGGTGAGGTTGGGAAAGAAGTCAACTAAATGAAGGCTTTTTCTTAGAACGATACCTCTATCGAAGCTTATCCAGTTTTGATCAAGGCCGGAATTTGTACTCGTACGATCGCGGGCCGTTTTGAATACCCTACGAGGACTTTTTCCGAGTCATGATGCTCCTTGCAGATACATTCTGGAAATCCAAAGATGACCTATATCAGTGGTCAGGCAGGCGCTTGCTGATATCGTTATATAAACTCGCTAATAGATGTGACGGGGTCATATATACAAGTACCTACATGATAAATTCCAGCATAGGAGACATTACGTTAAATATCATCGAATATCCTCTAAAGACCAGACATCAAACAGAATAAACATTCCCGAGGGTGAATGAAATGCTCTATACCAAATCCAAATAACTTCGCTAATCATAACATGTTCCTGCTCAGAGTAATACAATTGAATTTGCCAAAATTAACTGAGTTACAATATAACTGTTGATTAGGTAGGTTACGAATGACTACTAAAGAGCCCGCTAGAGACAGCACAAAACAACCCAAAACTATGAACAAACAAACTCCAAAAACCATGTGCCCTCCCAACTAAGTCTTTCACGCAGCAGGCTTCCTCGTCTCAAGCTTCCTAGGCGCCCTCTTCGCGGCAGGAGGAGCCGATGCTTTAGCAATACCGTTATCATTAGCGGCATTAGGAGTCTGCTGATTCAATTTCCTTGGCTTTCTCCTTGCCTTTGCCGTTGAAGTGGTGGAACCGCTTTCTTGGCCGTCGTTGAATGAGACACGCTTCGTCTGAGTAGGTCGAGGCGTATTTGCTGTTTGAGATTTTGGCGGTGAAGATCTAGTTTGGGTACTTACTGCAGGTTTTTTGGAGGACTGTTGAGTTCTTGGTGGCTGCTTTTGTTGAGTGGGTTGAGAGTTGGTGTTGGAAGTCGATGGCTGAGGTTGCGATGCCGATTGGGGGTTCGCTGGCCCTCTTGTTGTGGATGGCCTTTGGGAACGAGGCTTCATGGACTTAGGTTCTTCTTGGGGGGTAGCATTGGACGATGCGCCTTGCTGATTTCCTTGTTTTGATGGCTGCCTGCTCGGGGGATTTGGTCGCTGGTTTTGAATTTGGGAAGGCTGCTGACTTTGTTGTTGTGTCGGCTGTTGGTTCTGAACTGGAGCTTGTGGATTTGGTTTCTGTTGGCTCTGTTGTTGCTGCTGCTGAGTTTGTGGTACACTCTGCTGTTGCTGGTTCTGCTTTTGTCCTCCCCAGGGGTTCATCGATGCACCTAGTCCTCCAAGTCCCACCGCACCACCCATACCTTTCGCTGACGGCATACTAGGCATGCTTGGAATTTTGGGTCTCCAACTTGTCATATCCTTGACTGACTGCGACCAAGACTGCGGCATCTGGTCTGGTGCATCGTTCTTCATCTGCTCCAGCTCTTCCCTAGTGGGCGCTTGCGTTTCCTTTGTCTGCATGATCATCTTCTCCAAAGCTTTCCTTTGTGAAGATGAAGCTTTGATGTCTGGAAGGAAGTCACCAACCACACCTTGAACTCCGTGACTTGCCATCTCTCCGAGATCCCAAAAAGGCCCGGACATGGCACCGTACACTGAACCGACACCACCTCCAATTAGACCAGTTACTGTAGACACCAAGCCCCCAACCAGTGCACCAGTCAGTTTTCCGAGGGTTACACCTGGTTGTACGCCCAATCCAGCTCCAGCAGCCAATCCCTGAAAAGCACCGGACTGTGTGTATTTTGCTGCTTTTCCGAAACTCTCAGCTTCGATTTCTTTGTTGATTGCTTTGGCTAAGATTTTTTCTCTTGCTTCCGCATCGGCAGCGCCATGTGCTGCTTGTCTGAGCTCCCATGCTTTTTGTCCTGCTTGTAGAGCCATACTGGCGGATACGCCAGCATTTTGCTTGATTTCGTACTCGGGAATGGTACCGTGCGGAGTATCGTCATTATTATTGGCCTGGCCCTTTGCGGGCTTTGGCTTAGATTCTTTTTGTGCTTGTTTTGGCGGCATTTTGTTAGTTTGTGATGTTCGGAGATGTTGTCAAGGGTCCAGAAGCCGACTGATGTTATGAGGGTCGGCACTATGTGTGACAGCGCGAGTACGGTAGCACTACGTCATACAAGATCGTCGTTGGTGCACGCATGTGGCAATTGACAACCTGTTTTATTAAGGCGGGTAACACGTGTTTGACAGGCCATGTAAGGATAGCCCTCTGAGCCTTTCGGGACCGGGAGTCGGACTACGGTGCGCTTGACATTGATTCGTGGGTGTACTAGCCTGGCATGACGTCGGTGGTCTAGTGGTGGTTTCTGCTCTAGTCTCCCGTCCACAAGCCACACTAATCGTGCCTTTAACTCTAAGAGCTGTTCCATTACCTGCCGGTGGTGACCCTGTGAATAGATAGGGTTTGTGGTGAAGCAGTTCGCCGTCTATTTCCACTAGCTTTCCCGAAGATAGAACAAGAAAAAAAAGTGACTTTTCAGACTCAATTGTCGCTGCTTTTCCTATATTATCTAAATTTATCATTTCGACCACATCAAGCTTTCTTTGTAGCATCCCCAGTTGCTCCGCCATCCTTGCCGCCTCTCAACTCCTTGTTCGTCGCCTGAATCAATAATCTTCGGTAGCTTGTCAAACTAGGTGTTCCATCGTTGGTAACCTCGAGAATAAGATGCAACAATTGACCTTGCACAACAGGTTGCTTGCTTGTGAATTCCACGGCGGATTTCTGTGGTGGCGGAAGCGTAATTTCAACTTTTCTCCCCTCATTGTCCAACTTTTTGATTGCCAACTCCGCGACTTCAGCGTCTACCCACCATTGGGTAGCCGTAGGCTCACGGTAGTGCCACCATTTGAAAGTCAGCTTGCCTTCATTGGGATCATATGTACCTGAAGCATCGAGCGTAATAGCAGATCCAGCCTCGGCAGTGATTTGAGCGGGAGCGAGGCCCTTGAATCCACTAATGTTGATCACGGGATGGTGATTTGCTTTTGCAAAGTCTGACTCCATGGTCCATTTGATGCGCGCAGCAAAATCGTTCTGGAAGGCATCGCGCCAACGCCAAATAGTCGCATGGTTGGATGTGTAAGTCCTATCACCGACCTGAACTCGGTCCGCTGCATCGCTGTAGTGGTTGCTGTTGACGCCTTCGCTGCTGACATCTGTACGATTATACCTCCCACCCCAAGAGCCGTAGTGCGGGCAATCAGGGACGCCCAAGCCATTCTGAATGAGGTACAGAAATGTGGGTGTATCTCCCTCAGGGATAAAAAGATAGTCAGGATATGCGCTCCCAAGAGGGCCTATCTGGATATTCTCCTTGATCCAGCTCTTTTCCATCTTGGTAAAGTCGGGGCCACCTTGGTCGAAACCATAGTATCTGTCGCCAGAAATGCCAGTCCATGCAGCCAAGCCATACTGGTTCCAGCCATGGACCGAGGAAATGTAGAACACATCTGGAAAGTTGTTCCGGATCCACACACCCGTGTCGTCCTGGTCAGAAATAGCGTAGACGCGCAGACGCGAAAGCAAGCGCTTGGAATCGTCCGGGTCGTAATCATCATCAACCTTCAAGAGCGCCTGAGCAAGCGTGTTGGTTCCGCCCCAGCAGAGGATCCACAGCGGCTGGATGGATGGTGCAACAATGCGGTCGTACAAGAGCTGTCCGCCAGCAGATAGTTCTGTTCCGGTGCCAACAGCAGACATTCCATATGTCTGCATTGCATCAGCACCATCCCAGCTAGACATGTCGCATGTTTGGGTTTGAGTATAAGCTTACCTCGGCACCCTTCCTGATAAGGCCACGCAGATGATCCGCAGTCGGGTATTGCCATTTCGGATGAACATGCTTATTTAGATTATCGACAGCGCCGGCATATGCATCGATAATCTTCTCCATGTCTTCCGGGTGAACCTCGTTCTTCATCCACGTGCTTGTGCATGCTATGAGGCCCTCTGTTTCAAACTCATTCGAGTAGAGGAGATATCGACACATTGATTCAGCATCGTCAGGCTCATTTGAAATGTCCGACAAGACGATGACGCGGGGTTTCTGCTCATAAGTTTGGAGCCGTTCAGTTGCCATGCTGATGAACTCAATGGTGTACGAGAGGGAAGTGTGGAACAAGGAAGTTAGGGTTTCTGGAGGGAGCTCAATGGTATCATGTGTCGGGGATTGCTATGGTTACCGCTGCTGTTTAGCTATCACGTCTCACAAGGTGGGGCGTTGATGAACGAATGTGGCACTCTAGGCACTTCCTGCCGTCTGGAAGCCACGCCGGCTGCACTTGCCTATGCACAGCTGTACGACACACTTCACTAGCATCTCCAGTTTTCACCCCTCATGAGCCACCACCGAGACATTCTATTCTCTATGCAATACTCGCCACTACAGGCATTGTTCAGGATAGCCGTTCCCGCGATCTACTAGCAGTTGCGGGGCTTAGATGGCTGCGCCATAATTAGGCCGCATTGAGCCGTGGCGCTCAGCCTTGCGTGCGACCCCCTTAAAGTAGAATGCATGAGCAAAACACCCAGTTCGCCATCGACAAGATGTCGCTGTATCCACCTCGCCTTTCAGGCGTCCAGAATGACGTATCGGTGTCACCGGGCTGTGTTGTTTAGCCTATTGCGAACCGAGTGTGAATACGCCTTCACATGTAGATCCTTCAAGGCAGGCTGTGTACCCCAACATATCATCACTCTTATATATAAAGATTGTCTTACGCTCCCGTCTACAGCAACAGTTTTGTAACAAACACACAGCCAGAAGTTTAAAATGTCTTCTATTCAAGATCAGCTTCAACAAGCGGCCCACCAAAACGAGCAGCTGCTTCGTGGCCTCGAAGAAACCGACGCTGCCCCCTCACAGCTCAAGCAGCAAAATGACTACATAACCGACCTCGACTCTCAAATCCAGAAAACAACAGGTCGGGTAAAAACACTAAAGGATAAAGCAAAGGTCGAGCTCAAAGAACATGAAAAGTATCGCGACTCAACCTTTCGGCGTTTCGCCCACAAAGCAAGCGGCAAGAAGGAGAAGTTTGCTGAAAAGGCTGCCAAAGAAGAGAAAGACTATTTCGACGCGATACAAGAGCAAAAAAGCGCCGAAGACGAACTAGCATACACCAAGCAACTGCGCGATGAAGCCGAGAGGCGGAGACAAGAACTCTCCACCCAAGCCCAACGCTATGAAAGTCTCCAAGCCCAACTCGATGCCCTCTACAACTCCATCTTCGCCGGCCACACACCCGAATTTCCAGATGAAGATCGCAAAGAAGAGGCTTGCAATGCCGCTCTCGCACACGTACAACATATAAGCCAGCGTCTCGAGCGCGAACGCCACATCCTCTTCCTCCTAGGTCAAACCTCACTGAAGCTCTCCGCGGCCCGCACATCCCTCGAGCACGCCTACGGCATGAGCCAATTCGACATGTTCGGCGGGGGCACCATGGCCAGCATGCAAAAGCTCAACGATCTCGAGCGCGCCGAAAGCGCCATGGCCCAAGTCCGCATGCTGCAAGACCAAATCACACAGGTCGCGCCCGAAATACCCACACTCGGCCATCTCAACATCGCCAGCGGCAGCATCTTCTCCGACGTCGTCTTCGACAACATCTTCACCGACATGCGCATGCACGAGGAAATCAAAGACTCCATCGCGCAGGTCGACCGTGCTGGAAAAGCCTGTGGCGATATCATCCGCCAGCGCGAGCACCTCGAGCATACTCTGCAGGCCGAAGTCCAGCAAGCTCAGACCCTGCTGCAGAGCGCGCGCCATGACTTGCAGAAAGCGCGAGAGGAGGCGTTCAAGAGGGTCCTGCATGGTGCTGCCGCGCCTCAGTTGCGTTCCATACCCGTGGGTACTGTTGAGGCTCCTCCCCCCGAGTATGCGCCGCCTGATGGCTCACCGCCCGGGTACTCGGGCTAGGTATGTAGCCAGGGGGCAACGTGTTGGGGGGGCGATTATGTGCATATGTGATACTGGTAGGTACAATGGCTAGAATGCTTAAGTCTAAGGGATTCTAGACTAGGGTTACTTGTACATTAGATATAACGATTCTCACGTGCTTGATTAGACAGGGAGTGTAGTATTCCAATGACTCGGTTTAGCGGCTGCTACTACTACTAGTTAGCTCAATTGTATTTACAAAGCTTCTAGTGCAACGGTTGTTTGTTGTTCTGCATGGGTGTTTCATCTTTACTTAACACGCATGATCTTGTTTATTTTTTCGTGAATGGCCTTTGGTATATATGTCCTTTTATATGTGGTGCACGGTTAAAAGAAACATGAGCTTGGTCTTGGTGCCTTCCCCTTGAGACGTGAAGGATCTCGACGTGTCAAGTACTTATCCACAGCTCGGCTCTTCGTCGGTGATGCTAGATAAACATGACTTTTGTTTTGTGGTAACTAGTTATGAGGTCGGAAGCATGAATAGAGAAGATGACGAGTAAGTGCATCGGGTATAGTAGCGAAAGAAAGTCTAGTTTTGGGACAGCACTCGAGTCATCCAGGCACACTTGTGAAGAGAGTATCCCAAATAGAAGAATAGGTATGTAGGTAATGCAGTAGCATCAGGTAGCTATAAGAGGAGCCGCTAATAAGAAAATGAATATATACAGTATAGGTCACGGTGACTGCTCTACAATTCGCCACCTTTGCATTTCCCGCCAGCGAAATTCCTTCTACGCGTGACCATTAACCATCTAGATGAAAGCCTCCGCGAGGGCACTTTCAAAGGTTCCGTCCCTAAAGGATGGTGTTGCAGCCCCAAAGTCCGTGGTCTGGATCGCGTTGCGTGCAGCAGCCGTCATGCTGTCCCATGCAATTAGCGGCTGCTGACCACCAAGGTCGTTAGTGGCGATGAGCTGATGATTCAATGGCCAGGAAGCCCGGTATCCAATCTTGGGTCGAGTTCCCTGCAACGATGGGCTGGTTTCTTTTTGGTAATCACCGTGTGCGGAAATAGCAACGCCGCGAATAGTGGCAGTGGTGGAGGCTGCTGAGAGCCAGACAACAATGTTTTCCCAGTCGTGGCGGTGACCGAGGCCACCTGAGGGCGAGTCCTTGGGCATGTACCACGAGTACATGATGGCGAAGGCACCGTTGTAGGTTGTAGAGCGGGCGTAAACTTGGCCGGTGCTGGAACTGCAGCCGCTATTTTCACCGCCACTGGGGTTGAGACCACCGCTATTAGAAGAATCAGCATCAATGGTATTTTAGGTTTAGGAGAAAGGCGGACCTAGTGTCTCCTGCGGCGTTAACGGCAGGAAAAGGGACACAGCCGTTGAAGACCTTCAAGAAAGGCTTGTACTTGAGCATAAGCTGTCCAACAAGACCAGATGGAACGGTCTCGGGGAAGGGAACCACAGCATCGTGTGCAATGACTGCGCGGCTTTCGAGGCTGACGGGGGAGGAGAGGACGACACTCGCAACTGCGAGGAGCTGGAGGGGCAGACTTCGGAGGCCGAGCATGTTGGTTCTCAGTGTAGTATACTAGGGCAAGAAATACAGTCTTAAGAATAGATACAGTCCAGTTGTCAGAAACCTATGTGTTGCTGAAGCCGGGGATAGTCTTGTTCTTTATACTGACGCTTTGGCACTGTGCCGGTCACATGTCCCATACTAGTCAGTGAAACAAGCACCGCATAGTGTTGTTCTTTCCTTGGGTTTCCGGGTCATGCCTTGTGGTTTTGGCGCTCGCATGGAGCGGAAGATTGTCTATGCATCCTTCCGGCACTTTGGTAGGGCACATGGGTTACTGTGTAGACATCCATTGGCCAATGCGTAGGTACAGGATTGATATGGACGTTGACAGCGGCCTTGTTGCAGTTCATAGCTATGCGGGGCAAGCAGCGACTCAAGGACCGCATGAGTACCCTCGGAGAAGGGCTCTATAGAAGGCAATCCGTTATGTCGATCCAAGTAACCTTGCATTAGACATATTAGGCATGGCTCCCATTGTGGCGAATCAGATGCAGTGCACGTGCACGGGTGCGATTGAACAAGTGATTTGTGGGGCAGGGACAACGTTTTAGGCAGGTGGAGGGAATAGCGGATGCAACGCAAGGTCAAAGTAAGAAAGGTGTACGGCGGTATTCTTGGTAGATGGATAAACGTGATAGGTGGGCACGAAGCCATTGGAGGGTTTGCACGTACCTGCAGCCACAGCAAGATGTGATGGATGCCCACGATACGCCTGCCACGCAACCCTTCATCCAAAATGTCTCCAGATAGTGCGGCACTCCCCTACGGGCGGCGTCTTGGGCCCAGGCAGTATCTCACGGAGCAAGTCGTTAATATCGAGTCCATGTTCCACGCAATCGTGCCATTGCCTTGGATAGCCCAGGCTTACTTCCTCAAAACGCGTATTGTCGATCCAATCTGTCCTCCTGATATGTAAATGGCCAGACACGACCACTTTGGCATTGAACCTATTGTGCCAATTCTCTGTCCGCTTGGTGCCGCACCAGAGCGAAAACCGGGGAACCTTGGTCAGCTTCACAAGATCTTCTCGCAAAGGCCAGTGCCCGACTATGATCAGAGGGACGTCTGGGTGCGCAGCCACAGCCGCTTCAAGCTTCTTCTCCGTCTTGTCTACAAGGGCATTGCACCATTCAATTCGCGACGAGTAGGGGTCTGGATGTAGTAGGTGTTCGTCGGTCGCTTCAATGTCTTGTTCTCTGGCCCACGCGAGCGCATCTTGTAGTTTTACCCAATCCGGACGAAAGCTGTAGTCGTACAGCGTGAAAATGGGCGCAATCAGACATGGTCCTCCCTCGCCCTGCCACAGCATGTAGTCATCCTCAGGCGTGAGAATGCCGAACTCGCGAGCAATTTCCACACACTCCATGTATTTTGCCTCGCCTCTTGCGCCGTTCTCCTTGTTTGTAGGCAATGTGTATAGCTCATGATTTCCCGGCACCCAAAAGACGTTCTTGAAGCATTCCTTGGCCTTTGTGAAAGCCATGCGACAGTGCTCAGCCGTCTCTCCGACATCGCCGCAGAGGATCAAGTCATCGTGCGGGTGGGGGATGAGCTTTTCCAGGGCTTCGCGGTTGCCTTTGAAGGAGAGGTGGATGTCGCCGATGGCCCATAGGCGGCTCAGTGGAAGCGTTGCGGCGGATGGAGGGGTATTTGGCGGGGAAGGTGTTCTGGCAAAGTCTGCGGCTGCGGTTTCTGCGGCTGCGAGAAGAGGGTCCATGACTGGCGGTTGGATTTGAATAAAGATGGCGTCGAAGTTTCAGTACGTCTGCGTCAGCACGACCAAGGTATAACTATGGGATTTGCTCTGTGTGTTGGTGAAGCCTCATTATGTCATCCCGCACCCCAGGAAACGCGTGTTCGCCGTCGCGACAATGCTCGCCAACCCGCCGAAATTCATTTGTCGGGAACCCGGACACCGAAACTAGCGGGTCGGGCCATATAGCGGGTGCTATATATGTAGACATGATATCAATTTCTTTACGCATAGAAACTGTACGAGCTAGGTTATTACTCATAACTGCACTCATTTGTAAAACAGATTCCATTCTAGCAGTGCTGTTCTTATCTGTCAAGCATGACCAGTTGAAGCCTGTCTACCGTTCTATGCATCGTGTTCAGTGCTGCGAGTGGATCAAGGCTGACATGCGCCCACTTCGACAACTGACCACCATGACATATTACCCGGCTCCCCAATCCCGCAAGCACATTTATGCGGAACACAAATATAGGTGGCCGTGCATAATCCGCGGAATGTAGTTTTCCTGAAGAGACAGAGAATGCGTGTTTGTTCAGGTACATGAACGCAAAGTAGGCAAACCTTTAGTAGTCTTGCTCCATTTTCGGAGACTGACATGTGTTGCAGATGCGTGCAGATGTCGATCAATTTTTCCAGTCTGCTGTGTATCATGCTCAATACTTTTGAGGCAGCAAAAGAAGCGTTTATGGTTACTCTCATGTACGCCCTCGGCAATCCTACCTCTATTCGCCCGCAGTGACGTAGTAGTGCTCCCACGCTGCAGCCCTTGAGGAAATAAACAATTGCTGGATGCAACAACACACACTAACGGCAAAGGCTGTAGACAAAGGCTGTAAGCAATGACAAAACAGTAACCAAAGTTATAAGCTTGACGCCCGGCCAACTACTCCTGCATCGCGGGTTAACTTGATGAAGGAGCTAATGCATGTATCGGGATCAATACCATCGCATGAGCCGCCCTGAGGCACCAGGAACACGCAACCAACTTGATCGGATTCGACAGCCATACATGCATCATGGCTGCACAGTCTGAATCAGGGATCAGTCATACTCAAATCCTATAGCCAAACAATCCGTTTTATGCTAGCATTGGCGCTGTCGGCTGAGCAATCAAGGTCAAAGGGTGGGGACTGGTGATGCAATACTTCCATCTGCCATGGCACCTTGCGGTGGGATCAGCAGCCTCATGCAACTACTAGTATATGTGCATGTGTCGAAAGATTTTGGACCAAGGGAGCAAGTGTTGTTCGGATTCACTCTCGCCTCAATCTTTGTCGTTTCCACCATGTCGAGCATTATTCCCGTTGATCTGCTGTCCTTTGCGACAAACCCCTCGTACCTAAACAGCATCGTTTCGACAAACCCCTCGAATCCAACCACGATTGAATTCCTCTCTTATGATTCCAGCTTTGCTTCAATACTTGGGGGAAATGCGACGGCACGACAGTTATATAACCTAGATTACTCTGCTTTCCACGAAGCAGGCGTATACAGCAAAGATACCCAAAAGATTTATACAACGAGTGACTGGGCGGGTGACTTGTCCAACCCCATCAATGTAACCACCATCGACCTAGCAAACAACTACTCCATCTCCTCAATCAGATACCCTTCTCTGTCCGAACCCAACGGGGGAACAGCGTACTATCCTCCAGGCACACAAGTCAACTCATCCACACCACCATACATACTATACTGCGACCAAGGCGACCTAACCAATCCTGCAAGCCTTGTTAGCGTAGATCCCATCACCGGCTCCTCAACCCGCATTCTCACAAACTTTCTTGGGCGAAATTTCAGCGGCTTGAATGACGTGCGTCAACACCCTGTTACCGGCGATGTCTGGTTCACCGACACCGACTATGGCTACTACAAGGGTTTCCGGCCACCCCCCAATCTTCCTAAGCACGTGTACCGTTTCTCCCCCTCGACGGGCGAAATCAAAGCTGTCGCAGGTGATTTCTTCCAGCCGAATGGACTTGAGTTTAGCCCAGACTACATGACGCTTTATGTATCCGACTCCGGGGTTTACCAAAACGACACAGACCTTACACGTCCTTCTACAGTCTATGCATTCGATGTTATCGATGATGCCAAGTCTTTAGCAAGCAGACGCACGTTTGCATATGTGGATACTGGGATCGCTGATGGGCTGCACACAGACACCGAGGGCAACTTGTGGGCAGGCTGTGGAGATGGCATAAATGTCTGGAATCCAGCTGGTACTTTGATTGGTAAGGTTTGGATTGGAGTTACTAGTAACAATTTTGCATTCTTGTCGGGGGCTATGCTCATTTTTAGTAATCAGCAGCTGTGGCTTGTTGAGAATTTGAAGGCCGTAGGAAGAGAGGTTAGCAAGGACTTTGGAGCGTGAAGAGAAGGCAGGTCATGCATGGCATGAGAATAGACTATACAGTTAGATTGCAATTACGATTCCAGAACTGGAAAATGGAGCCTTGAGGACCTCCGAATCACGTACTGCAAGGCCTTTGCAGTTATCCTTGCGTAGAGGAATGATATTTATAAAAATTTAGAATCAATGTCATCAAAGTTGAACTGGAGTGGCAAGGAGGAAGGCAGTATCACATCTCACGCGTTCTCGATCATTCCTTGGCGTTCCACTAGCTTTGTCATCCGCTAGCGTCCGCTCCGGTGAGCTTCGCGCGCATCGCGACATTTTACACCGTCCGCGCGCGACAACCTCACCATCCCCATCGTCCCTGCCCCATCAACCGATCGATATCGACATCTAAATCTCGATACGCATACGCTTTCCGATCGTCGTCACTAAAACACCATATCCCATAGCGACACGCACGCGCAACATCCGCAAACATGGCCAACTACCTCGCCTCCATCTTCGGAACCGAGCAGGACAAGGTCAACTGTTCCTTTTACTACAAGATCGGTGCCTGCCGCCACGGGGACCGCTGCTCGCGAAAACACGTCAAGCCATCGTACTCGCAGACCATCCTGCTGCCCAATCTGTACCAGAACCCGGCATACGACCCCAAGAACAAGATGAATGCGCAGCAGATGCAGATGCACTTTGATGCCTTCTACGAAGATATTTGGTGTGAGCTGTGCCAGTACGGGCTGGTAGAGGAGCTCGTTGTTTGCGACAACAACAATGACCGTACGTTCCCTACACCTTTTTTCCCATTTATGCATGGCGACTCTATGCTAACTTTGCTGGAACAGATCTAATTGGCAACGTCTACGTACGTTTCAAGTACGAAGAGGACGCCCAAAAAGCCTGCGATGCCCTTAACAGTCGTTGGTACGCCGGTCGCCCTATCTACTGCGAACTCTCGCCCGTTACCGATTTTCGCGAAGCATGTTGTCGACTTAACAGCGGCGAGGGCTGTGTGCGCGGTGGCTTTTGCAATTTCATTCATCGCAAAGAACCGTCTGCGGAGCTGGACAGGGAGTTGGACATGTGCACGCGAAAGTGGCTTAAGGAGCGCGGCCGTGATGCCAGGAGTATGAGCAGGAGTCCTACACCGCCCGCTACTGCTGCTAAGAACAGGTTTTGATTGGGAAGAAGAAGAGAGGCTTCTGAAGGTTGTTGAGGAGGTGGTGATTAAGAGTGCATATAGGAATTATCAGGAGTTTCTGGCGTTAAAACATGCCCGCGCAATTTTCTTCGGGATACGTTGGACTTTGATACCATCAGCGGGCATTGCGTTGTTTTGGCACTCAAAATATGCATATTTGTAGTATACGAATTTAATGTGGAAGAAGAGACATGTAATGTATCTTTTCCATCCACTTGCTTGTCATTTTCAACTATACTTATATCGGATTCACAGGAAGAAGAATCACATATGTACACATGCATATACAAATGCATGTAAGACGATTTATGCAACTATGTATGTGTGTGCTTGAGAAAACAAACTAGAATCGGTATTCGTGGTCATATCAATCAAGACCTGGTATCATGTACAAAGAAAAGAGTTAAAAAAAAAAGGAGAACACGTAGACTCAATGCTCGGCATGCCAGATGTCCAGTTGCAAAGACCAGTCCCAGCCAGTTCAAACCCAGCCTCAGAAAAAGAGCAACGCTGGAAACCCCCCGCTCCCTTTCCCAAGTCCTTATACCCTTGAAAAGACGCCGAATACCCCGTTCCGGACCCTCCCGGAAAAGAGAGAACTCCACGCTCCCGCTCTCTATTCATGTTCGTACACCGCAAAAAATAAACAGCCAAAAAAAAAGATTCACCAGAAGGGAAAAAAAAAACAAAAAAGAAAAAGTGGGGGGTGTTGAACCACCACCCCTTCCCTCAAAAAAAACACAACACTTTCTCAAATAATCCCCCGTGACTTGAGTACCAAAACCGTCGTCACAACCGCCGCAACAAGCAGCAGCAATCCGATCCAAAATGCCCAGCAGATCCATGTGCGGTGGCGCTCTTTCCGCTTCTGCCGCACGAGCCACGAGTCTCTGTGTGAGGCGTCAGCCGTGATGGTGGTTACGAACTTGAAGCGCGAAGAAGGGCGACCGCTGAGTGAGAGGGAGAGGGTGGAGATGTTTGGGGCGCGGAAGAAGGGGCGGAAGGGGGAAGGGGGGTTGGAGGCGCGGTGGTGGATGCGTGGGGGAGGGTCGAGGGGGGAGTGGTGGGGGGAACATGTTGTTGATGTTGGTGATGATATCGATGACGGGGAAGTGGAGGTGGAGGTGTGTGGTAGTTTAATGTTTGAGCCGGTGAAGTTTGGGCGGAGGAGAGGTTTTGTCGAGGGAGTTTTTTGGAGGGTTGAGCGGCGTAAGGCTTTGCTCTTTCGTTTCTCCTTTACGGGGGGTTTCGAGGTGTCGTCGGGTTCTGAGGAGATTTCGGCGGAGAGAGGCGAGAGCGGACTCGTTATGGTGGAGCCGGAGAGGGATGCCAGGTGGACCATGGGTGGTTGTCCCGGAGAGGACATTGGAAAGTGTATTTGTGATAGGGGGGACCCGAGAGACAATGGTACAGGGGTAAAAGAAGAACTGCTTGCCACGTACGGGTGCTTTGGGCTTTGGGCCGTCATGAGCTGCTTCTCCAAGTCATCTTGGTGTACGGCTGTGCTGAAGCGTTTCCAGAATTGAGGATCGCGGATCATGGTGAAGGCTCTGTGGTGAGCATTCGGAGTGGAGTCGTGATGAATGGTAGGATATATATCGTGACGAGAGACAAGCCAAGGCAAACGAGTGAAGTGACAAGTTTCGATGTGTATCGCGCATGCGACAGTGACACTGTAGTCGATGGTTTGTGGTGGAAAATCTTATTCAAGTTTTGGGATGTTGGTGAAACCTGGATTAGGTGTAGTACCCAATCCGAAATGTGTAGCGATGGGAGAGTTTTTTGCCAAACAGCAAAGTGCGAGCCATGCGACGGAAGAGCGGAAGTCGGTGTATATATCGTCGATTCCAAAGACCCCGCCTCGTCAAATAGCGGGAGAGGCACAAATAGAAACACAGGGCGTCCACTGTGAAATATTGCACTGTGACATGCGAAATAATCTGTGGAGAAGGCGACTGGACTAGGGATCCTAGGATGGTGTAACGTGAAACAGTCACCAACGGAACGTGACAACCGCAATGGTCCGCAGAGTAGAAGTAGTTTGGATGAAGAATAGGCGAAAAAAAAAGAAACAACAGTCGGTAACCTGAGGTGATTAAGAAAGAGTAAGGTGTAGGTTGAAGGAAAATGGGAGAAGAAAATATGACTGGAGGCGAATGGGGGTTCTGGGGGTAGTATTGCCATGATGAAGACCCTGCCAGACAGGCTGCTGAGATGCGCTCAAACAACAATGGGCGGGCCTTTGGCCGCATCTGACCATTATGATGTAACTTAGGTTGTCTAGACACCGTATAGCCGGGTGTTAAAACAGATGTTCGGTATGGTCACTATAGGTGCGAGAGGGGTGCTGGCTCTCGTGCGTTTCGGGCGGGTTGGGGTGTAACCAATGGGAGGCAGCACGGTCCCTCGGGGGCCCCAGGCAGACCCGATGCATAACACACGACGTTAAGACGCGGGAGATTGCTGGCGATGTGTCCGTGATGGGGAGACACGGCTATGATTGGGAAGGCCAAGTGAGACGATTGCATCCGTCGCGTGCAGTGGTGCGGCTCTTCAGTTTTGAGTCGCCAGGAGAGGATTGTACATATGTGCCTGTGTTCCCTCGCTCTTCTCATCCATTGTCGCACCTCCTCGCCAGTTGTAAAGACAAAAAAAACCAAAAGAAAGGTCGCGCGGTCCACGTGCGCTTCAACTGCCGATGGCTTCCCCAACGCATGCCACGTTTTGAAACAATGGGCTAGACGCAAAACATCCCATCGCTGGCAGGTCTGCAGCCTTGATGGATGGCTCACCGTAGTAAGCCCAAGCGCGGGTCCCGTACTACGTACGTACTCCTACGCGTCGTTCAACTTTCCTTTTGCGCTTGCGCATGCTGTTGGGCTTTTCCCATCCCCAAACCCGGCCATTGCAACCTTGTATATACTTACATACATACACACACTCTCTCTCATCCCATTTTCAGTTTAATTGCTATACTTTGAGCATTTTCTGGGGCTGATCCGCGTCATCAACGTGACGCGAACATGGCACACGAAGCTTTGCCCTTTTGGCTCGTCAATGTGCCAAAGGACCAGTGGCCGAGCGAGTGCCCGGACTTCCTAAAGGATTGCAGCGACAAGGATAAGGCAATCATTGGGATGCCGGACGGCGAGTACAAAGTATTGACATGGGACCAGGTGCGGGAGATTGTCCGTACGGTTATTGATTCACATCCGATAGGCGAGATGCTAACAGCCCCCGCAAGAGAGCAACCGTGTCGACAAATTCCATCGCCTGCCGAGCGAGCTGCGCCGCTATCGGCAGTTTACCTACAGGCTCGAGAAGGACTATGGCAGCATCATGAGCTTCATAGTCAACGAGCGTCTCAAGTGGGATACCATGGAACCCCGAGGCGAACCATTTCAGTTTAATGGTACGACGGGGTGCAGTATTCGCTTGGCTGCTACCGCTGTCTAACCGTGTTCAGAGGACATCAAGATCCTGTATAACGACTGGCCCTATGGCATCGACCCAGACATTGTCCACCTCGTCGTCTGGACCAAATTTGAACTCGAAGACGACCCCGAGACGGGCTTGTGTACTGAAGCATCCAAGAAGCAGATTGAAGACTACGTGCAAAAGACGTTTGCGTCAAAGGTCAAGGAGGTGGTGTGGTTCAAGAACTGGAAGAGCCTGAAGAGCGTGCATGCAGTGGAGCACTTTCACGTGATGCTCTACAAGCCAGACGCGACCTTTCTAAAGCACATTACAAATGACGATGTACCTATGTCGGCTAGGGTGGTTGACGAGTAAGCAGAAGAGTGTGCGACGATTTGGTTCGCCGTCGGATATACTTACCTGACAAGGCCTGCGTTCACTGCGGTTTGTCACGTATTTAAAACGGAACATATGTACATACTTATGTACTTGTGTACTTTACTTGCAGGCGTGCGGCAGGGAATCAGCTCTGGTGTACACAATGGGTGAGTTTTGCGGCCAGCTCGGAATATGCCCAAATTGGTCAGTGCCGTACTTATTACCAAAAGCAGACAAGTCCTTCCCCATCTCAACTCCTCCTCACCACGGTTGTTCTGCTTATTTCGGCCAAATCTCTAACAGATATGGATGAAGCAGTTTCATAAGGCCAGAAAAGAACCTAGACCCTAGATGGCTCGGATTCGACGAGAAATAGGCAAGTGCGCAGTAGAAATGTCGTAGTGGCTGTTTAAAATAACCATGGAAACGGTATTGTGTTGGGCAGACGCTGTTGTTTTGATATGGAAATTTGACAAATGCAGCATTCGTTACTTAGGCCAGGATTCCCTGTGTGTTTGGTGGTATTGACTAAGTACGTCACAAAACGGCGGTACATACTGCCAGATTAGACTGTGCAACCATTAGAGCCCGTAGCCGCGGGGTGCTACACGTATTGTCGCTATTGCTTTCACGTGTATTTCACAGTAGGAAGTATCCAAGTAAAGTCGGTATTTGGCCGAAAGCGGACGCTCTGCCACTCGGCGCCTACAGCCTTGTTATCGGGGTGCTGGCAGCCAACGAGGTGCTCGCGCAGTCTTCCCCTGAAGATCAGCCGGCTGTTAAAATTTGAGCCACGTGTGTGGCGGCGCATCTGCACCCTGTGTGTGTGTGTGTGGCGCGCCGTTTGTGTGGCGCTCAACCTGTGGCGGTGAAGTCGGCCATTTTCCCCTCTGCCAAGGTGCAGAATCGGACAGTTTTTGCAGACAGCCAGGGCTAGCATGCTTATCACAAAGTCGGCTATGAGCTGTTCAAGTGTCATATGCCCTAAAAGAGCATCCGCTCATGTTAGGCACATTTGCGTGTAAAATCAAGGCCCGTCTTGTATGATCAAAGCGCGGTGAGAGTGTTGTCGGTGCTTTTAGCGCTGTCAAAAAAGTCGTGGGACGGGGGGCATGCACACCCTGGCCAAGGGGCGCGCCGTCCAACAATTCCCCCCGATAGCCCATTTCGTCTTTTGTACGTACTGTACATATGTACTCTTCCTACGCACGAGCACATACTTCCCCTCCTCCCCTCTCGCTCTCTCCACCCTAATAATTTGTTCTTTTCCGAGCTGCAGTTTGCTTTTCTTTGTCTTTCGTCGCATCGCGGCAGTCCCGACACTACCTGGGGTTAGACACATAATAACCAAAGGGCTGGGGGTAGTCGCTTCACAAACAACTGCTTCGGTCTCCGACGCACGCCACGAGACGCTTTGTGCAGATAACCTCGCATACGGTAACCACTGTCTCTACCTTGCTTCGTAATCGGCGCTCACTGGGGATAAGCCCCGCACAGCCACCGACCCGTACGTGTGCCTGTACATATGCAAACGATTCCCCGGAGCCCCTCCACGCCTCGATCACGCTCAAACAACCTCGGTGGTAGACGCCCACAATGCTAGGATCACTCGCCAGCCGCTGGCAGGCGACGGGCGACCAGCAAAAGACTGCCCCAACCTGGTTCGACCGTCACCTGTTCCCCGTCCTGCTCTCGGTAGCCAAGAAGGCATGCACGCATCCCATCCACACCATTGTCACCATTGCCGTCCTCGCCAGCTACTCATACCTCGGCGTCTTGGACAGGGGACTCTTGGAGAGCGGCATCGAGGATGTCTCCAACAATGTCGACTTCCAGTCCCTTTTGGCGGGCAGTAAGACACTGAGGGTTGGAGAAGAAACATCATGGCAGTGGGAGGCCTCGGACGCCAGAGGCAGTGCTGCCGACAACGCCCAGGTATGTCCCACTCACTCGCATCTCTCCAAACCTCATGAGCTCACATGCCCGCCTGCACAGGAGCTCGCCCTTGTCACCCTCGTCTTCCCTTCGTCCAGCACCCTCAACTCGGCCCCCTCGCAACAATCCGTCCCTCAGAATGTGTCCGCACAGCTCCTTCCCAGCTCCTACAGCTCCTTCTCCACTCTTTCCCACGACACCTCGCTCGCATACGCCATGCCATACGATGAGGCTGCCAAATTCCTCGAGGCCATGCAAGAGATCCCCGCACCAGAGGATATCACCCAAGCCCAGAGCTCTGCGCATGAAGGCTCCCGCGAGCAGAAGAAGTGGATGATGCATGCCTCCAAGCACGGCAATGCCCCTTCAGGAATTCGCAACTCGATCATCGACTCTTGGACCTCATTCCTTGACCTACTCAAGGTACGTTTGTTTCTTCGTCTCCCTCATGGCGAATGTGCACTTTGCTAACTTGGCCTCCAGAATGCCGACACTGGTGACATTGTCATCATGGCCATGGGATACCTTGCCATGCACCTGACGTTCGTGTCCCTCTTCCTCGCCATGAGGCGACTGGGTTCCAACTTTTGGCTGGCTGCTGCTGTTCTATTGCAATCCGCCTTTGCCTTCCTCTTTGCCCTCGCTGTGACGACTTACTTCGGTGTCTCTATCAACTTGATCCTTCTTTCCGAAGGACTTCCCTTCCTAGTTGTCATCATCGGATTTGAAAAGCCCATCGTTCTCACAAAGGCTGTCTTGTCTGCCTCCTTGGACGGCCGACGAGCCGCCGAGGAGAAGCGAGGCGAGCCTGTAACGATTCAATCCGCCGTGCAAACAGCTATCAAGAAGACTGGCTTCGAGGTTGTCCGTGATTACTTCTTTGAGATTCTGGTTCTCGTTGCAGGCGCCTTGTCTGGAATCCAAGGTGGTCTACGCCAGTTCTGTTTCCTAGGTGCCTGGATTCTCTTCTTCGATGCCCTCATGCTTCTGACCTTCTACACGTCTATTCTTACCGTCAAACTTGAGATCAACCGAATCAAGCGTCATGTTGCTCTTCGCCGTGCTCTCGAAGACGACGGCATTGACGGCAAGGTCGCTGAGAGCGTTGCTGCGAGCAACGACTGGCCTAGTGCTCGTGACGTGCAGTTCAGCAGCAACAGCACGACTGTCTTTGGAAAGAAGATCACTGTCCCCAAGTTTAAGATTTTTATGGTCGCTGGATTTTTCCTTGTCAACATCCTCAATGTTACCACCCTCAAGTTTGGCCTTGCACCTTGCAAGTCCTATTTTGTCTCTGTTGTTGGTTCTACCCCTCCACTAGATCCTTTCAAGGTTGCTGGAAGTGGTTTGGATCACATCTTTGAGCAGGCAAAGGAAGCCGCAACATCGACCATTGTTACTGTTCTCATGCCGATCAAGTACGAGCTCGAGTTCCCTTCGATTCACTACGCCGGGCCTTCTCTTTCCAACTCAGACCATGCCTTTGGCACTAACATTAGCACCCACATTGTCGATGGCGTGCTCAAGAGTCTGGAAGATCCATTCCTTAGCAAGTGGATCGTACTTGCGCTTGTCATGAGCGTGGTCCTCAACGGTTACCTCTTCAATGCTGCTCGATGGACAATCAAAGAGCCGCACAAGCCACTGGATCCTCCTTCTCCCTCCGAAGTCCTAGACGGAGCCCCCACTGTCCCCGGAACCCCTCGCATTCCATCCATGCACATGCCTACGCCGCCCCGTACCCCCGGCCCAGATGAACAAGCCAAATGTCTGCAGCCGCTTACACAAGTCCAGCCAAGACCCCAGCCAGAGATTCCAGCAGGCCCAACGGAAGAGCAGCAACGCCAGCCTAACCGCGCTTACGAGGTTCTTGAGCAAATGATCAAGGAGAAACAGGCCCCTAAGATGACCGATGAGGAACTGATTGAGATGTCGCTAAGGGGTAAGATCCCAGGTTACGCACTGGAGAAGACTCTTGGCGATAAGACTCGCGCTGTCAAGATTCGCCGAGGTCTCGTTTCCCGAACACACGCTACACGAGAAACATCAACTCTGCTGGAACGCTCACTTCTGCCATACAAGGACTACAACTACGATCTTGTCCATGGCGCATGCTGTGAAAACGTTGTTGGTTATCTCCCTCTCCCCCTTGGTGTTGCCGGCCCAATGCTCATCGACGGCCAAAATTACTTCCTCCCCATGGCAACTACTGAAGGTGTCCTTGTCGCTTCAACTTCGCGCGGTGCAAAGGCTATCAACGCTGGTGGCGGTGCCGTTACTGTTATCACTGGCGATGGCATGACTCGTGGACCCTGTATTGGATTCGACAGCCTCGTACGCGCAGGTGCTGCCAAGATCTGGCTTGACTCAGAAGAAGGCCAGAGGACCATGAAGGACGCTTTCAACTCTACTTCTCGCTTCGCCAGGCTGCAATCGATGAAATCTGCTATTGCCGGAACCAACATCTACGTTCGCTTCAGGGCTACGACTGGCGATGCCATGGGCATGAACATGATTTCCAAGGGTGTTGAGCATGCTCTGAACGTCATGGCCAATGACTGCGGCTTCGAAGACATGCGTGTGGTCGCTGTTTCTGGTAACTACTGTACCGACAAGAAGTCTGCTGCCATCAACTGGATCGACGGCCGTGGCAAGGGTGTTGTTGCCGAAGCCATGATTCCCGGTTCCGTTGTCCGATCAGTCCTCAAGTGTGAAGTCGATGATCTTGTCCAGATGAACATTTCCAAAAACTTTATCGGCTCAGCCATGGCGGGTGCTATGGGTGGATTCAACGCGCACGCTGCCAATATCGTTGCTGCGGTCTTCTTGGCTACCGGTCAAGATCCTGCCCAGGTTGTTGAAAGTGCCAACTGCATTACCATCATGAACAAGTAAGTTTGTTTTTCTTGATTTATCTTCATGCCGTCTATCTTGCTGGGTAAACGAGATTGCTAACATCTCCTACCAGTGTCAACGGCAACCTCCAGATTTCGGTTTCTATGCCTTCGATAGAAGTCGGCACCATTGGTGGCGGAACCATTCTTGAGCCCCAGTCTGCCATGCTCGACCTGCTCGGCGTACGGGGTGCCCACCCAACCTCTCCCGGTGACAATGCTCGCCAGCTCGCTCGCGTCATTGCCGCCGGTGTGCTTGCGGGCGAACTGTCGCTTAACAGTGCGCTGTGCGCTGGCCACCTGGTCAAGGCGCACATGGCACACAACAGGAGTAACGTTCCCTCCCGAGCGCCCACACCCGGCACCATGACGCCCGTTGCGTCAGGTACTGGACTGAGCCTGATGAATGCAGCTGCGGGAATTGTGCCCAAGCGATAGAGAAATTATAACGTGTAAATGGAGAGGTTTTTATCTTTATACATATGCATTGTATGATTGGGAGAAACAGTGTCTAGATTTTTTATGCTGGGCTTCCTAACCAAGAAATTCTTCATCTTCTTCTTTGTTCTTGGTTTGCACTCACGCTCAGTTTCCTTTTGAGCAATATTCTTTTCCGTCGGGACATAACTTAGCATGCAATACAAACTTTTCTTTTGTTCAGTAAAAGGTGTGGCGGAGGGGCGAAGCATACACTTCACTCATGTTTTCATGTCTCGTTTTTCCCGATGATTTCCATTGATAACTGTCCAAGTCACATAGTTTGCGACCATTGTGGCATGCCCTTGCTTGTATCCATTCACACATAAAACGCTATCCTCCGACACTCCCCTCTCATGCCCAGAACAAGAAAGCGCACAAAGGCGCGTTAAATGGCCCCTTTTTGCACTTCGAAAAGGACAGTGACTACTACAAACTATGCTATGAGAGGAGAACAGGACGTTCCACTGCATGGATATGACCCGACTAAAATCGATGAAAAAAGAGAAGACACACAGAGACAGACACACACCAAGAAAGGAAATTGAGCAATGAAAGACAAGAAAAAAAACACTCTACGCCATCATGACATCTCATAGCATCCCCATCGTCAAAAGCGAGCCAGCTCTCACCAATCCTCTGTGAGCGACGATGCTTGTCATGTTCCGCCAACAGAGATGTTGTTTCTTAGACCGCTAGGCGCAGGCCCCTTCTTGGCTCGGCGGCCCAGAATACTCGATGTGTCCATGTTGAGTTCAAAGGCACCCTTGTTCTTGACCTGGCGCTTAGCCGCCGCTGCGACAGCGGCAGAATGCTGACCATAGCCCCGTTGTTGTGGTGCTGCTTGTTGTTGACGTGCTTGGGCTGCGGCGGATAGTGTGGTGTTGCGCATCTTCTGCTCCATACCAGATACGTCGGCACCTTGCGATTTGGGAAGCTTCGCTGGTGGATGTTGTGACGAGGAATCGTATGGTACGGACTCGGCAGTGTACTCATCATCGTCTTCGTTCTCGTCAAGTGCATTCAAAGAGTTCATAGCGTTTGCTCCACGGTATCCTTGCTTGAACTGCTTCTTCCTCTTTCCCTCCTCTTCTTGACGATGTACAGCATAACTGACATCGAAAACCTCTCGAAGGTTGACGGCTCCAGGTGAACGGAAGTCCATGCGACGGGCGCCCGGTGACTCAAGGTGGGTAAAGTCTGGCTGAAGACGCTCCTTCTTGGCAGCAGGTGTTGCAAGAGGTGGTGCATCGTAAGCAGAGTAAGTAGGCTCGTCAGCCTCACGTATCCATGGATGGTTGAGGAACTGGTTGATGTCATAACGCTTCTCGGGGTCTACTGTCAGTAGGTGGGACACCAGGTCTTGGGCAGACTTGGAGATGTCGTCCCACCATGGAGAAAGGAAAGTGTACTGGCCACGCGCGACCTTCTCGGTAAGAGTCTGGATGGACTCGTCGTAGAAGGGTGGGAAGCCGCAAAGAAGAGTGTAGAGCACGCAACCCAGTGCCCACATGTCAACACTCTTGGAGTAGCGCTCGTCCTTGACAATCTCAGGAGCGGTGTAACCGACAGTACCGCAAGGTGTCATTGTCTGGGTATCCCAAATGACTTTGCTGAGACCGAAGTCGGCAACTTTGATCAGGCCGATGCCACCAGCACCCTTACCCTTGACGAACTCGCCCTCATCAGCCTTGTCCTCATCATCAGGCCCTCTTGGCTTGGGGGTTTTGGTGGGGACAAATGGAATTGGGTAGAAGAGAAGGTTTTCAGGTTTGATGTCTCTGGTTATGACGTCAGCGGTTGATCTCATTGACGTAAGAGCAGGATACGAACCGATGTACAACACCTGCCTCCTCGTGCAGATATTGCAGAGCCTTGGCGACTTGGATGATGGTGTGGCGAGAAAGGTCCTCTGAAAAGTAGGTAAGGCGAACGATTTGGTGGAACAGTTCACCACCGGGGCACAACTCGAGGACAATGTAGTAATATTGCCGTGATTCGGAAAAGTCAATGAGCTTGACAATGTTGGGGTGGTCGAGCTGGCGCATGATTTGTACTTCCTTTAAGATGTTTGCTCTCTATAGGGCAGTTAGTGTCTGCCTACAAAAGTCCATGCGTGATGGAAAACGAGGATGCTAGGGAGTCGAGCATCAGGGAAGTAAATCTATCGCACCTCGGCTGCTTTTGGCGTTTTGAAGTCCGGATGCATATGCTTGTCCTACACCGGCCTCGCGTTGGTAACGTCCAAAAAACACCCAACTTCTTTCGGTGCGGTATCGGGTAAGGGAGAGGAATGGCGACATTGTGGAAATGGGCAAGAGGGCAAGAGGGCAAGAGGGGGGAGGGGCAAAGGATATGGGTAGTACTAACCTGCTGTGAGTTCATCTCGAACTTACGAACGACCTTGATGGCGACTTCGTCCCATTGGCCAGTGTTGTCTCGTGCGCGGTAGACGTTACTGAAGGCACCGTCACCCATCTTCTCGAGCAGGGTCCAGCGTTCGAGGCCTGGGTATCTGGGCAGCTTGCCCTTTGCCTCACGCTCCTCTGCAACAATGCGCTCGAGTACGGAGGGGTCAACACCGGCGCCCTTTGCGGCAGCCTGCTTCTTCTGGTTGTCGGCAACGGCACGAGCGGCGGCGTCGCCTGCTTGAGCGGCAATGTGACGGTTGTCGCCAGCGCCAGCGCCGACCGAGTAGTCACCATGGGGAGCAGGGTTGTTTTGGAGGGGCTTGTGGTCCATTACGGGCTCTGAGATGCCATGATGCGCGGGCTCGGGAGCCTGGTTGTAGCGTTGATGTTGCGACTGGGCATGGACATTGGATACATTTGTCGTGGGCTCAGCGTTGTGGCGGGCCTGTTTGCCATGGCGCAGGAAGTTCTTAAAATTCTGTATGGCGGCCATGTTTAGTGTGTGTGTGCGTGGACAGGAGTGAATTACAAAGCCGCTGGGGATGGCGGGGTCGCTTGGGCTGGGAGACGGCTACAGGCAGAGATGGGCTTGATACGACCGAGTATAGCCGGGTGTAGCAGCAACAGTAGCAGCAGTAGCAGTAGCAAAAGAAGGAGAAGGGGAAGAATGCAGCGGGACAGTAGTGTCACGGCAGTGGAGTGGTGGCGGAGAAAATGGGAAAAAAGACAATGGGAAAGGTGGTGGTTGAAGAGAAAGGCGTGCACGAGCGAGGGAAGGCGCGAGGTGAGGCCTGAGCAGGAGAGTAGGAGCGACATGCGTCATAACGCGTCCGTGCGCCAGATGACGATGCCGACTACATCATCGCCAAACAAGCTGCAACCACGCGCGCCAGCCCTGAGGCAGCCATGGGGCGTTATTGTACCCGTCGCGCCCCTGACTGATGGCCGGAGAGGAAACATGTGCATGGAGACAGGGTGGGCGGGAGAACAGCAAGAGAAGAAAGCAGAGACAAAAAAAGCAAGTCGTCTCACCTCGATTACTGGCAGGTTCATCTTCTTGCGCCCGCTCCGTGGAGAGCTGGGGGTTGACTGGAACTGCATGTGCTTCGCGGGGAAGGGCAGCCCTGGATCTCGATGCAGGTGTGGCTGTTCTCCGCCAAAGCCAATACTGTACTGGGTACGGTACAGTGACGCCGCGTTTGGTAGCAGCAGTAGTGGTCAGGGTGGAGGTATGACGCTCGTCTGGATATTTTGGCGTGCCGCGTCGAAGACGTCGCAGGGTGTGGTGCTGCTGCTGCTGCTGCTGCTTCTGCTGTGACTAGCCCAGAGCGAGCAAGGGTTTTGCCGTCGGACGTGGACAGAACGGGCTGTGCTTGGTGTGATGTGGCCCTGGGGGTGCGGCTGATGCCAGAGTAGAGTAGAGTAGGGTAGAGTAGAGTAGAGTAGGGTAGAGTAGAGTAGAGTAGGGTAGAGTAGAGTAGAGTAGGGTGCTGTGCTGTACAGTGCTCTAGGGTGAGTGTAGGGCTAGTAGAGTGTAGCAGGTGCTGGTGATGAGCATTCGCAGGCAGTAGTGGTGGTGGTAGTGGCAGTGGTCTGCGCGGGGCTATCTGGTTTCGTCAGACTGCAGTTTGGCCGCTCACGGTGACAGACAGGCAAATCGGATAGAACAAGAGGAAGTGCGGCGGCTGAGACGGTGCATCTAATAAGCTCTATGTAGCATGTGGGCAACGACTTGATATTTCTTCTTCTTCACCACACGCTACCTCCGCGCGAATGCACTCGAGCCATAGCGGCGCACCGCGGAATCGCCGGCAGCCCTCTGTCAGCTCCATGGCATGCCGCAAGGTTGAGCGGATCCGTCGACTAGAGGCTCACAAAGCTCGCTAGGCACGGGGCGGCCTACGCCACACTGCATGCAGCCCTCACCTGCGGCCTTGGAACAGAAGATGGTCTCTTAGCATGCCAATTCGACCCTGCCAATGGGCCCCGACGGCCACATGCATATACAATCAAGGCAGAGACCATGAAAAGCCCGCCCCCTGCCTTTGCCCGCTGCTTGCCCGCTGCTTGCCCGCCCGCCTGCCTGCTGGGGACGCAATCTCCCGCCGTCTCTGCTCGACGCCCCCGATGAATTCCCTTGCACTTGCTCGCAACCCAACGGTCCTAGTTCGTCTGCAGGGTCCATTTAGTGCGGCGAATCTCTTACGTCACTGCCTAGTGGGAACCGCCTCAGAAGACGTCAATCACTGGCCTCGCACCCTCGCCTCTGCACCACATCCTCCTTTGACGCCTATGGCCTAACTCGCACGACAGATTGGTCTCCCAAGTAACAACATGCATGTCTGCCATGTGCAGTCCATGTGTCGGCCCGGAAGATGCACATGTGCCCTTGGGCTGTTTCCTCACGCGCATATACTTTCGGCCCGATGCCCAATCCGACTTCCGCTGTCCCATTACATTAGTTGACGAGGTGTCTCCAGCAAGCTCCTTCGCGCACGGGGTCTGTAATCATCAATAATACACTACTGCTACTATTTGCTCCGTGTCTGCTCTTCACCTGACAGCTACTGGCCCATTGCCTGTGATTGTCATGCCGGCCCTTCCTAGCCGGCCAATGGCCGCACCACAACCGCCACAGTCTCAGCCCATGTCGCTCTTGGCAACACGCTCACCCTAACTGTTGATGCAAACGACATGCCTTACCAATCGCTACTACACACATACTAGGGCCCTCCATTCTACAACGCCCCGCATCTCTCGCACCCACAATCAAATCCCCACGTCTTCTTCAGCCTCAGCATCCTCTGCCCGCGACTCAGCATCCTCTCCTCTCCACTCAAATAAGTAATGCACAGCTCTCGTCCCTTTTCAATGTTTCTTCCCGCCCTGAAATACCATATCCTCCCCTCCCGCTTCTTCTCAATGTTCTGTCCGCACGAGTGATTGAAGTAGCTTGCAGCCGGCCAGCACCCATAGCCGAAGAACTCCGAGCCTTCGTCCTCGAGCGAGCGAATGCCAAACGAGTTGTGCGAGTCACGCTTCGACAGTGTGAGAAGCGTTTCCGCCGTCACCAGTGGGAGGAGCGCCACGGGCAGAATCGCAACCAAGTGCAGGTAGGCCCGTGTGAAAGCATCCAGATCATCAGAGCTGTGGTACGGCGTGTTGTCGTTTGCGAGCGCCTCCAATCGTTCCCACTGCTCAGGATGATGGTGGCGCCACAAGATGCCACTGACACAGAAGCTCATCACGTCGGGGGTAATGCGTCCCTGTAGTGCCTTGGAAACAGCTTTTTTGTGCTGTTTGGAAATGGCCACCGCAGCTTGACAGTCCACACCATCCGCTTGCTCCGCTTCCCTTGCACTCCTTATCAACGCCGCCTGCCCAGCCACACTATCCCAAGCTTTGCTAATGTCTTTTTTCGTGGGCCGCGGCATGTCGACGTCCACCATGTCACTATCTTCTTTGCTCCTCTTTCGGATCAGATTCTCAACAGCAGTCCAAGTCTGGATACCAATCTCCCCCTGCTCCTCCTGCCATGTTTTCTGACACGCTTCCGAGCAGAAAGCAAACCCCACTGTCTTGTCTCGTATGCTCAGACCTCGTCCGTAGTCGTAGCCAAAACATTGCCCGCACACCTCACGTCTATACTCGCGTAGCAACACGGAAAGTGTAAGATCCGTTGACTGCCATACAAGTGTGCCTTTGGGGATGTCTTGGGTAGCGAAAACGGCACGGCCGGCGGTCGGTGTGTGTCGAACCTGGAATAGGTGAGATACGGGGGCGCCCGCAGGGAGCTCTTTCGGCGTGTCGGCAGAGCGGATCGAAGAGGCGGATGACGGTCGTGAAATACTAAACACCGAGTCACCGGCTACGGGGACAGAAGAGTCGCTCTCGATAGTGTCCATGGTAGCGGTTTCGACGTTATTAGCAGCACAACAAAGCGCAATGGTAGGCGAGTATTTCGATGCTCTCTTCAGGAGATGCTAGGCGGGCGGGCAAGCGAGTATGATGGTATAAACAGTAGTGCCCCTCAACGTTGTATCGAGGGCGAAATGTATGTACACAAGTGATAGCACGGGCTGAGGTCAGTTGCGTATGTCACATATGCTCATACTAAAGTTGGATGATAAGAGAGAAGCCATTGTGGATAAACTTGGGACTTGGTCTGGTGTGGATACGCTGGATGATGGCTGTTTGGCACAAGACGAGAGAGTGTGGGATGGCGAAAACGCCGTTGTGTCTAGATTCTGGTGATCGGCGCACGGTCCACATATTCAAGATAGGCGAAGACCCTGACTGATCTGGCGCCACGCGTCTGGAACGCTGCAACAATCGCGCCGACTCCGATCAGGCCAAAAGGCTTGAATATCGTATTCGCTCCTCAGACCTACATGGATAAGCTCACCGACAGGCTCCGTACAAATGTACATGGTGCGGACTACACTTTAGGACGTAAACAAGTTATCCTGCCATTCCAGCATCTCCAGTCACGTGTGCAGCTCAACTCGTCATCAAGAACGGTTGCCACTTCACTCCCATCAAGCTATTCATTTCGATGAACTCCATAGCCTGTATTGACCTTCTAGACGTCAATGTCGAAACAGAGTGCGCGCATACCACTCATCTAGCGCGGACGTAACCTGGGAATAACAGCTTCATTCCAAGCACATAAGTATTCAGCACCATCATGTCCTTTGCAGTATTGTAGGCAGCAAGTCGAATCAGAAGAGATGTTTAATATTGCGAACCGTTACGGATTGATCGCGGACTAGATGGCGACTGGTGCAAGTTCGCAAGCGGATGCACACCAGGCAGCATCATTGGAACTAGTCTCAATCCGGACAGTTGCCTGAATACTGGCGCAAGGGGTATCAACTCCTCCAGAGCGTTTGGAAAGCTATAAGAAGGACAACGCAAGACTTCAAGTTAAAAAAGCGTTAATTTCCTCCCACAATCGACCAACCAGGCTTTTCAGCATCTCTCTGATATTTCCACTCAATTGACTTCATCGCCCCGTCACATAGCCACCGCACATCATCATTATGGCACCAATCACAAGTCCTCTTCAAATCACCAATCTTGAAGATGGAGAGACAATTCATCAAGTGCGATCTCTGTTGCTGCAGCATTTGAACTTACTAACACGTTCCCTAGCGCTGCCTTCTTGTCACCGGAACATATGGGTTCGAAGCCGCTGAAGGAAGTTACATACACGTAACTACCAAAGCAGCAAACAAATCCGAAAACTTCCCAGAGCAGACATGGCCTCTAGCGGGTGGCCACTTCAAGGCCATGGTCATGCTCTCTCCAGGATTGAATAGGCTCGAATTCGCCTACATCTGTAACGACTGCATCGAACATACTGTTGAGACGAACGTCAATTACTGGCCTCTGATGCAGTATCCACCTCTCCATCTCGCAATCATGGTTGCTTCTGACTCGCCGTGTCTCATCGATTGTCCTCCTAACAAGGCTGCTGGTGTGTCTTCGGCACACTCGGATTTGGATGCTGCCATTGCCAAGCTTCGCATGACTGCGTACATGTGGCAAGCCATGACTGCCGAAGATTTGAGAAAACAAGGTATTGGAAGACGCTCCTTTCGATTGGAGGAGGAATGGACTGCAGACACTGTTAGTCGCGAGTTTATCAATGCGCGCATTGGCCAAACTCTCGCACAGGACGATGCTATACGGTCCACAGCCAAGATCCACGTCATCCGCTCTTCCAAGACAGTCAGGGAAATTCGCAACGAGAATATTGCACAGCAGAACGACAGAGCTCGCAACAAGAACGCCCTTTTCGACTATTTCAAGGAAGCGTTGACAGATGCTGGGGGCCCGTTCGTTTCTGATGCTCAGCCCATAGTTGCTGGCCTGATCTTGGACTCTCAGTACAGCATGTCCAAAGGTCTTATTCTCGGACACGCCGCCCTTGGTTGCCACGATTCGCATGGTATATCACTGGGCATGTTTGGAAGCCACTTGACCTACTCTTGGCCGCGCTTTCTGGAAGAAGTTACCAGCTGTTTGAGCGACACACGCAAACCTGGAGAAAAGGTGGGCAACGATAACAGACAGTGTACTACCTTATGGGAAGCCTGTGCAATTGGTCAGGGTGCTCACATGCACGAAGTCGGTCATGCATTCGGCTCGCCGCATCGCCCTGGTATCATGGAGCGAGGTTATGCCCAAGATTGGGTTAAGAACTTCGTCTCCCAAACCGCATACTCGCGCTACCTGAAGCAAGAAGGCGTAGTTGTCGACCCGGAAAACACACCCAACAACGCACGCTGGGACCTAGCAGATGCGCTCTCATTCCGCATGCTTCCCCATTTCCGACTCCCTACCGACCCCATCCTCAACGAAACAGCCCGAAAAGCAAAGCCCGACGTGAGCGTAACGCACGAAGACGAAGGAGGCTCCGCAACCCTCCACATCAACTCATACAGCGGCATCGCGCGCATAACCTTCAACAACACCGAGCACGAGCAGCCCGCAGAATGGCTGCACAAGGCACCCACAACCATGCAATTCACTGAAGCCGAACTGGACCAGCGCTTCAACCGCACCGACCCGCTCTCCCTCCGCATCCTCGCCTCCAACGGCCGCGAAACAAGCACAGCAAACGTGTGGAAACTCCTCGCCAGCAAATCCTTCATCCGCATCCCCGGCTCCAGCATTGTCCTCCGCAAACACCTCGCCTACTTGTCCTCCGACTCCGACGACCACTACCGCCCCGACGACCCCTACGAATGGGCGCAGCTCCTGCGCGAGCGGGGCTCGGATGGAAAACTCCACCGCGCCGTGTCGATTGACCTGCGCGTCGGCTGTCTCTGGGACGGCGGCGTAGTCAAGTATGCTGACGGCCATGTCTCGCACTGGGGTCCGATGCGCGTGTACGGGTCTACGCATCGGTTTGGGGGCCACGCATCCGAGAAGATAAAACTTGCCGAGGATGTGGAGATTACGAGCGTCCAAGTTAATCCGGATGAGGGCGTCAGAGTGCACTTGTCGAATGGGGAGAGTAAAGGGGAATTGAATGCGGGGGATGAAGAAGGCGAGATTGTCGAGGTGAAACCTGCTGCTGATGAGATTGTGGTTGGGTTTTTCGGCAAGAGCAGGCGCGGTGGGTTCAATGGTGTGTGCGAGTTTGGGCTGATTTGTGTGAAGAGGGAGGTTGGGTGGGAGGGTTTGCCCGATGCGGTGTTTGGACTGGTTGAAGTGAGGAATACGGCGGGGATGGAGGAGGGAGAGGAGAATGCACAGACGGAAGATGAAGATGACGACGAAGAAGATGAGGATGAGGATGAGGATATGCAGGATTGAAGTGTATAAACCGCCTTCTTTTTTTGTAATAATTTCTAATCTTAGGACTTTTTCCCCCCGCCCCCCCCCTTTTTTTTCTGAATACATGATTCTCCCTGTCTTCACACGACTACTACTACATAATATATATATGCCAACCTTCTCATGATTCAATATTCCCCCTTTCTCCCCCCTTTTTTTTTCCTCAGTCTCCTCTTTCTACTACTGCCTGTGAGCATACTTTGCTCATGAATTTACCGTCGCTCCCTTTCCCTCGCTGCCCTTTCTATGCGCTCTATGCACTGATTGCACATCCTGGGGTGATCTATGAACGTCACCCATCGAGATGGCCAGTGCTGTACACCGTCACACGTTTGTGTGTACATTTCCACGGTGCATTGGCAGATCCAGCTTTGCTGGACAACTCTGCACTGGCAATTTGGGGGGTAGTTTAGGTCTACAGCCATTGTTTTTCTTGATGTATTCGCTTGTTGTTCGGGGTTTTTTTTTGCTTCTTAAGTGTTTCTGGGTTTAGTAGTAACTCGTATGGTAGGGATCATGTTTTGGGGAGAGAGGGATTTTTTATATAGGGAGGTTCATGTATGTGATGGTCGTGTGTAGTTCACAGAAGGGAGTTGTGTGATGTATTCCTTAGTTCAATGAAGGGGATTGCAGGGTAAGCGGTTGTTTCTTCATGTACTCATTGAAAGGGAGTCGGTGATTGATCTGGCTGTGAGTTACAAGAACGGGTGGTGTAAGGTGCAAAATGTAATATTGAGAACTCGTTTGTTCATGTTGCCTGCGATTGTCAATACTTCACTGTCACTTTTCTCTCCGTTGCTGATAAATCACAGTGTTAGGGACAAGGCTCTCGGGGAACCGCAATAGTCGGATAATCACTACGTCCAATATCAATCCAAACCACAGCCTTGATTACTATGCAGGCTGTTGTGAACTTTGTAGAGTATAAAGTATTCTTATAAAGTAGAATTCTATTTAATTATGTATTTCAATATATAACGAACAAGCACTATTAGCTTTATTGCGTAGTTACACTGTTGTGGTAGTGGCAGTTTTTATCCGGCTATCTCGGGCCCTCAAGAGGATGGCGAATGCTGAGATGGCAAGTCCTGTTTCCACTCAATCTGTCTCGACGACGCCATGGTACATATCTCACAGTTTGATATCCGTACCAGTATCGAAACAGCAATAATGTCTCACTGCGCAAACGTCATTCCACCCTGCTACATGTGGCTTAGATGCATAGCTTGGGACCTGGGAGGGTTAAAAGGAGGCCCCTCGTAGTGAATCTGCCAAGAGAGATCTTGGTGTAGCAGACGATGGTAGCCCCTTCAACTGGTAAAACTCACTACAGGACAAAGTCCAACACATGGATAGTCAGCTGCGCAAATTTATGCAGACTATTTCTGCATACCCCTAAACTTTTGCGCACGTGTGGACTTTAGCTGCGGTATTTTTTTAAAGGTGATGTAGGGTGCATGTGGATTCAGTAGGTGTAGAGACTGGTTGGGTCAAAGTGTTTCAGGTAGTATGTTAGTGCATCTATGTGTAGTCCAGAAGCACTTGAACCGGATTACTCGACTACTGGTGGGAGAAGGGTAAGGAAAAACAAAGTCGCTGCTTCACCACTCTCAAGTTGAGCTGTTGGAATAAGGCAATCTTAGTGGACGATGCGTAAAAGCAAGCGTAATAGCCGTTGCCTCTTCTGAATCACTCCAAGAAACGCTATGTATACGCAGAATGCCATATTGTATTAACGGGCCCCGTCCATGTGAGGATTTGAGTTTGGTAGTGGTGCTGGTAGGATTGAGTGCGACTCTTCGGCCACTGAAACGCATGTCCTCAAGCATTCTGAGTTTGAGTTGCCACTACACAATAAAGACTACGGACGTAGTCCGACGTGGTTAGCCTCGAGACGGCTTCCTGTAATCTGCCGGTTCTGCTGATAGGCGGGGGGGGGGGGGGGGTGGCCTGGGCCCCAAGTGCCGATGCTGATCCGTGAAACAGTGGCTATCGATAAGATGTCGGCTTTGGTGACTGGCCTTGGGCGATGTGGTGAATTGCTCATTTCTTGGTTGCGCATGACCTGGTATGCCGAGCGGGTGCCACACGCGCCATGGCAGCCAAGTGTCTATACTTGGGGCCCCGAATCTCGGGTACTAATCTCGGAGAATGGATGGGCGTCAAAGTGGTCGCATAGAATACAGAAGACGACAACGAAGAAGAAAAATAGTAGCATGGCAGGCTGGGGCGCTACGGGCCAATCAGGCGGGCGCACTCACGTGTTAGGCTGCGGCGTAGCGTGAGCAGCAGAGCCAATCAAGTCCTGCCCGCCAGCCGGCCTGAAACGCAGCCTGAGCACTGCTACCAAACCTCGCCCCACCCATCGCTGCCACCAAATCCCATTCTTCTCGATGCGCTGTATCGGGCGCGCATTCACCTATCGTCGGATCGCCCAAGCCTTGCTCCGGTACACTTGCGTGTACCCAGTCCCCATCTTCATGCTGGACACCTACGCGTCACTGTTCTTCTCGTCGTACCGTGCTGGCTGCTGCATCCATCCCCCAACGCACTCTCTGACGCTGCGGGCGGCTCGCACGCCCTTGGTTATTTCCCTGTGCAACTTGACCCCGGACAGACCCGCAATTCGGCACGGCAACTGGACAAAAAGTTAGCTGCCGTGTTCGTGTTGTAGATCAACGGCTCGCCTTGCCCTCCAATACCTTAATTACTCCTCTTAACGTATCGGATGCATGCCTAGTGCAGCCGCCTGGCGACGAACTACTCATCTCACCACAAGAGTCTGGCCCTTGCGCCGCAAGAAAATAATAATCTGTGCCCAATGCTGCCAGGTGTGCGCGCTACGCCGCCAGTGCGCTGTGGGACCAATAAACCCATGGCTGGCGGCTATAGTAGTGGAGGTCGGCGTTGAAACGCTGTCCCAAGACCCAAACATCTTCGGCTGCAGGCACAGAATGTTGTCTGCAGCATCGCGTGCGGTGGCGCCTTGTTTCGATCCCTCACATATCTCCTTCTCCATTGGCTCTGATCGCTTCTGTCCCTTTGGGTCGGAGATTTTGAACCATGTTTGACCACATTGCCCGCCTGGAATAAAGGTACATGGTTGCGCGAACCTAATCGCTTCTCACACACCCTTCCTGTGTTGTATCTTCACTTCACTTCTCTTGTCCATTTTTTCCCTCTGTTTTTTATTTCCTTGCTCTGCCTGTCTGGAACACGCTGTGCGGAATTCACGATACGGCTATTTATTGAACAATAGCAACATTGTTGCTCCAGAGGTGAAGACGTCTACAAAGCACATGACCTTACACATTGTTCCATCACGTACCAAAATCCACTTCACTTATCTCACCCCTGCGTTTCTTCCCACAGAACCTTCTTGTTCTACAAGCTTTTTGTTTTCTCGAGACACAATCACCGAGTAACTTCCACCACACACATACACAAACATATCACAATGCCTTCTTTACGGAAAACCTTTGTCGCGGCACTCGCCGCTTTTCCCATAGTCCACTCCCACAGTTGGGGAGAGCAGCTTCGCAACATCGACGACAAAGGCAAATATGTGGGTGCCTATGGCTATCCGCGAGGCATGGTCGACCGGGGTCAAAAAGGCCCCGATGGGAAGGATACAGACAACTCCATGACCTGGAGGATGCCCGAGTCCAACACCGAGGGTAAGGTCTTCATCGACGCCGACCAACTACTCTGTGCGCCAATGCAACGAGAGCAACAACAATCCTCGGAGAAGTTCCCGCGCCTCAAGACTGTGCCTGGCGGCTTCATCGCCATCCGCTACCAGGAGAACGGTCACGTCACACTTCCACAAAACAACCCCGAAAAGCCGGAAAAAGGCGGCACTGTCTACGTTTATGGTACAAAAGAGCCAAAGACAGATGAGAAGCTTTTCGACGTCCTTCAGTGGACCCAGGATGGACAGGGTGGTGACAAGCGCGGAGTTTTGCTAGCCATGAACGACTACGATGATGGCCGCTGCTACTTGAACAACGAGACCCCCGTCGCCATGGAACGCAAGGTAGCCGACCCCGCCTACATGGCCAACACACCAGAGACCGGCCCTGCCAACTCAGTCATGTACTGTGAAACAGACGTGAAGCTCCCAGAAGACGTCGAGCTTGACAAGGCCTACACTTTGTACTGGGTGTGGCAGTGGACTTCTCTTCCTGGAAAGACACCAGGTCTCGACAAGGGCAAGGATGAGTATTACAGCACTTGTATCGATGTCGACGTTGCATCTCCCAACGTCGCAATGCAGGCTCTCGACTTCGCCGACATGTCCGAATACGCCATGGGCCAGCAGGATGCTGTTGGCACCGCTGTCAGCGACTGGAGTGCGCGAACTGCACTTTACAACGAGATGCCGTTGAAGCGCGAGATGGGCCCTGTTACCTCTCTTCTTTCAGGAGGCGGCTCTGATGGCGGCATTCCTTCTGCGACCGGCACCGCTCTTCCTTCTATTCCTACTGGTGGACCGCCCTTCTCCAACAGCACCCGCTCTGCCGTTCCGACTACATCTGCGGTTGCGATCCCAACCTTCAGTGCCCCTCCTGGCGTCATGCCTACCCCTTCCCAGCCTGGCAACGAGGGCGTTCTCGTCGTCACAACCACCGTCATGGTCACTGTCACCGCACCTGCTGCCACCCAGCCTATTCCGCCAGTAGTCACTACTCCTCCGGCGTCGATTCGCAGCATCTACTACAAGAACGGTGCCAAGTTCCGTGGATTGATTTGAGAATGAGCCTCATCCATGTTTCCAACAACTCTAACTTTCCTTTTTTTTTCTCTTCATGTCGTCTGCATGTCTTTCCTTTGTAAATCTCCCCAAACCCTTGTTTCCTGTGGCAGGCCACTGGTGCAAACGAGTACGATGATGATGACGCACGATCAACGATGCACAGGCGAATCATGTTTCCTTTGATTTTTTACATAGCGTCGGTGTGTTTTTGTTTTCTTTTTTTCGGTTCTGGGATATGGATACGGACGATACCCCCTTGCATACATCCAATGGCGTTTTTGATTTTAGCATTCCTAGAAAACAATACCCAACATGGCCATTCCATGAAGATCTCCTCAAGGAGTTGAATCAATCTTTTTTACACACATTGAATGCTGTACGCTTTGTCTTTTGCTGTTTTATGACGTGAATGGATTACTCGAGGACTGTAGTCACAGTCTTCTTGAATAGTGAATTCCTCGCAAACCTGTATCCCTCGTCATGCAACTAAGCTACTCACAGTGATATTCACACTGATACTATAACTATAACAGTCTATAGTAGCGTCTACAATCAATAGTATACTACTTAATTCTACTCCATACTTAATCCGCGGACTACCATGGGGTCGCCAATGTCTAAGATGAGGCCTCTCCTGACATCGGAACTGTGAACCCAGAAAAGTACAAAATCCACTAAATACTAACTTACTGTCAGTGATCTAATCCATATCCTACATCAATAGATCCTTTGCTCTACGAATACTTCCTGTTTGTGCGCTGCTGTACAAAGCGCCGGTACGACATCTAGTGCCCGGCTGAAAACCCCTTCCAGGCAAACGATTACCAGTTATCATCATACTGCCATGTTGATCTTCTCGTTCTGACCCATTGGAGCTTAGTCCGAGAGCCGGCCACGTTATCGATACACGATTGGTCTCCCGGAGCAAGCATTCGTCGTCACAAATGTGACTTCCAGCACCGACATTCCTAGCCCAGCGGGAAGGCAGTCAACGGGTACGGGGTACCTGGACAACATAGCCTACTGTACCGGTGGAAAAGATTGCCGTTCATCAAAACCCAATTCCCGGGATAGCAACCTAAGTAAGCCTAGTCAGCCCTATTTCCACAATGCTATCCGCACCCGTGCAACATCTGACCCTATTTGATTCGCTTTCCAAAAAAAGGGCTGAGTAAAATAGCTCCCGTATCCCAAAATACAATCTCAAGCCTTGTCATTGCGTGTCTCGACGTTACAGAAATACGTTTGCGCTATATCTTCTAAGCCACTGCTGCGATAATCAAGTTGCGGATATGATCTGCAAAGCCATACACCGCTTAGTACGTACACATTCCACCATCTAGATATGGGGGGCTCAGGGTACGAGATATACCCCATGTTTTTTTTTAAAGATTTGGAGAGTTAACATGATACTAGCGATTGGAATGGCCGCCTTCCCCGCGACCAAAGGATTTCGCACCAGCAATGCTACACAGTCATGCAAAGACCATTTGCCCTACAATCACTACATTTCCTTTCCCAATACTCATGCTATAAATGGGCAAAGAAAGGTACCAAAAAAGATGACACATATCTGATCCCTCACACTTACTATTCCCAAGGCCGAAAAATAAAATAAAAAATAAAATAAAATCTCCCCAATTCACTGGGGAGAAAAATTCCCAGACATTTAGAATCTTTTGAGATGGAAGAAAAAACGAAATATACGAGATTCAAAGTTGAAAACTAAGGAAGAAAGAAAGAAAACAATGTGCAAAGATATCCACAGACACTGGCTCCGCTGCAACCACCACGAGTACATCCAAGTCAAGCCGTGCCGCGACGTGCGCAGGGCGCTGAACCGGATTAATGAGCCGTACTATCTCGATCAAGCGGGTGTTGTGCCGTACCGTCAGTCGGTGAGGTGTCGGTTGCAGATGCTGTATCAGGTTCATGATGGGTATTGTACGCCGTGCAGTATGAAGAGGGAGGGATGGAATTTCAGGGGGTATGCGTCGGGGTGTGGGGGGTGGCCGAGGTATATGTGAGGATGGAGTGAGGGAAGATGATGCGTGGGGAGAAGAGAGAGAGAGAGGAGATGATGTGCAGATGTGTTTTTCTTTCACGTCGATTTTAACATGTTATATTTGATTATGCAATTCATACTATGTTATTTAGCAACTAGCTGTAGACTTTATGCTCTCTTACTCTTACTCCCGAGCCCCAGTGAAAAATGCGCTTACAAGTTCCGCCTTCGCTACCGCGTCACTATTTAGAGTTCAGCCACTGACTTTGACTCCATCCCCTTACCCAGTTTAGAATCTCCCAGAGACAGATCCAAACCAAAAGCATCACCCACTTATTTCACTTTCTGCGCAGCCTGCTCAACAGACATATCTCCCGCATCGCTCTGCAGCAAAGCCAACGTAAACAAACCCGTAAGCGACAACCAAATGTTGCCCCAAACTCCAATACTCATGCTGGTGTTGTAATGGCTCGGCAACTTATAATGCTGGTACGCGCCGATACCCGTCGCGACGTGATGAAAGATCGTGGCCGCGACAATGGCTTTGGCATACGGCACCGACGAAAACTTCTTCACCGACTCCGAAGTAAACGGTACGGCGTTGGTAAGGGAAATAAGGACCAGAGCGAGTGTAATGAGGCACCAGCCGTCGTTGCGCACGTTGTATGTTTCGAGGTCGTTGGGTGCGAGGTTAAGTTGCGAGGGGGGACGGAACCCTTAGAAGTATTATTAGTTTGGTGTGAATTGGGAAGGGTTGTCTGGAGAGGTTCTCTGTTTGAAAGGGGTTTGTATACGTACATCCGATTACCATTATGGGATCGTAGACACGACACAAGCCACGCAGACCGTACCAGAATGCTGTGCCGTACGCATATGCGTGGAAGACCTAGCACTCTTGTTAGAACCTTCTATTCCGAAGCATGTATCTTTGTTGGCTTTTATCAATGGGAAAAATAACCTACGGTAGAGTTCATGGAAGGCATGTTTGTCAATGAAAGTTGAATCGATTTCGCACGTTGGAAGCGCAGTGTACAAACTCAACTAGTTAATTTAAATTCCCAAACACCTCCTCCACCCGTCTTTTTAAATCATATCTGTTGGGAACTGCTTCCTGGTCGAACATGCATGCTCTGCGACGTCATAATGAGAGCTCCATTGGCTCCATCGGTGTCACTCGTGCGTGGTTGTAAGCCAGCAGCCGCCTAGAGGGGTTGTTCCCCGCATAATCCGATCGAAGCGAGATGATCGTGCAAATTGTAGATTCGATGCGATCGCGCTTAGTTGTTTTTGGAGAGGGGGGGCTTGTAGATTTCCCGCTCAATGGCTAACCGCCGGATGGTGTCGGGAGCCAGATCTACTACAGATCTGAAGGCGACGTGCTTTGGAAGATTGCGCAACTAGCCATAGCGTATTGTGGCACGTAGTTTTTGAGGTACTCAGGACGAAGCTATCTGCAGGTAAATCTGTCTCTTTTTCAAGTTGCCAGGTCTAAATGTGATAGTTCGGAGCTGGGGGATGTTCAGTAGCACAATGACGACATACTTCTTATCTTATCAGCCAAGCTGCTCTTACCAAGTTGCTTTTGCTTTCTCAGCGCAGCATCCTCGGAGCTTACGCCCTCCCGTGCCATGACCGTGGAGTTGGACCCTCGGCACAGAAGATGGTGACTACATGTCGTCCATCTCAGCCCTTTAATCGTGTAACGATGCCATGGCGCCTGGCTCGGTTTAGATGACACGTCTCGTTCACTTGTTGCACACCCATTACTGCCCACTGCAACTATTCCATCAACAATCGGCTTCAATCAGCCAGTTATGGCGACATTTACTTCCATGCTCGGATGCAAGAGACGGAGAACAGCGTGAGAACAGTCTGGAAATACCTGACGTGTCAACGATGGGAACGCGACAATACTTTGTGAGGTTCCCTTGACACATCTAGCTGCGAGACTCACAGAGCAAAGTTGTGATGGAAGAAACGGAGAGTGTTTGATAGAAGGTGTGATGATATGACGTATTAATCAGAACATGGAGCAGTGCTAATAGTCATCTTCAGCAGTTTGGTCTGTGGCCAACTACACGCGAATCAATCTTCCGAAACAATGCGTAAACACGAGAACACGAGGAACTCAGCTGCTTAAACAATAGGTCCGCTAATAGAACGCGTGGGTTACAAGTTATCGATAAGAGCAAGGGTGTCGCGTTGCAGCGCTATGAATAAACGGCCAGAAGTATTATCTTTAGCCTCGTCACGCCAGAGACATCTACGTACCTATGACGATCGACATATCCATACGGTCGTAGATCAATGTAATCACAAAGCGCATCGCGAATTATGATTGCGTACATGGTTTGCCATCATCACTTGCACACATTAACGACGCCCTACGACGCCCCTCCAGAGCATACGCACATCAGCGATTCAGCATAAACATACAATCTTGATTTGATTTCAACGGTTTCGTCCGTCCAAATCGGAGAGGTTTCTTTATTTGGATACCGTTGCACACCTCAGGAATTTTGCACATGCAGCCAATCACGCCTCAGCAGGTACATGGCATGGCGTGTTTCAGAATTTGGCTCGGCTGGACAGGGATCTAAGGACATAAAACTGGGTCGCTACCTGAAAATCAGGGGTATACGCTGGGCAACGTGGGCGAAAGATACGGATATGCGAATAGGAAGATGGGAAAATCTCTTGTTGCACAACGCATGCGTGTGCGTTGATTTGGCGATAAGAGCTAGCCACAGCCTTCGGCCATAAAGTGGGATGTGTGGGTGGAGACACCTCAACGATGCTAATTAGCAGTACGACGCGTTCAAATTTAAGTGGATGGCTATGATGTCGAACCGCATTCTAGAATCCGTGCCATGAAAAAGGAGATATGCAGTGGTGTGGCTTAGTATCGGTAGGCTGAGTCGAATCCTCCTGTGGCAATGATTTGACTGGGTCCTACCGCTCCGTCCTTCCTTCCACTCGTCTTGGTTTGCGAATCACTCATTTTTCTTAACAGCCTCTGCCTCGTCGTTTTCGACGATTTCCGTTCTTTACTTCACACTCCTTTGAAGCCTTTGGTACTGCGTGCCACACTACGTTCATTTCACTGCGCAAGGTCGTTGCTGCAACTTCATTCTTTACCTTTTTACGAAACTTATCTACAATCATTTGTTTTATTGTTTTTTGTTATTATTCTACCAAATATGATACCACCCAATTTTGCCAACGCTATAACCGTCGTTCTTCAATCCGCAGCGATTGCTTCTCAACCACCAGCGCCAGCACCTGCCACCTTACTCGCTACAGCCCCACGTGTCGCAGCATCCCTCAAAGCCAGCTTTCCTAACCCAAATCTCGCTCTGTTTCCCCAACCATTTTGGTGGTGGCAATCTGGTACTGCCGTCGATGCGCTCCTTACATATACCGATGTGACCGGAGACCGCCAATATGAACCACTGCTCGAACAAACTATTCTCAGCCAAGCGACACCAACCAATGACTTCCTCACTATCGACGCCACCGGCAACGACGACCAGACATGGTGGGCCCTTGCTGCTGCAACAGCAGCTGAGTTGAAATTCCCCGAGGCCCCAGGAAGTGTACCATGGATCGACCTTGCGCGCAATGTCTTCGCGCAGCAGAGAGAACGATGGGGTAACGAGAAGAAAGGAGCAGCAGGATGCAAAGGCGGTCTAGGCTGGAAGATTGCCAAAGGTGACGGCAACGATGGCTTCTTCTACAAAAACAGCATTTCCAACGGCCTGATGTTCCAACTTGCTGCGCGCATGGGAAAACTATCGGCAGCCACCAACGAGACAGCCGCCAAGGAGGCTCAAGAGTGGGCGGAGAAGGTGTACGACTGGAGTCTGCATGTGGGGCTTGTGAGCGATCAGTTCGACGTGTTTGACGGCACGGACGAAAAGAATGGATGTGCGGATTTGAACCACAACAAGTGGAGTTACAACGTCGGCGTGTACATGTATGGCAGCGCAGTCATGGCGGCACAGACTGGCGACGCGAAATGGGTCCAGAGGACAAGAGGCTTTATCCAATCCGCAAACCGCACGTTTGTTAATCACGAGACTGGGGCCCTGTGGGAGGAAAAGTGTGAGGGCAAGGAGGGAGAGGAGGCCTGTAATACCGATCAGGTCTCGTTCAAGGGCCTGTTGGCGAGGTGGTTGGGTGCGACAGCGGAGATACTGCCAGAAGTCAGTCTGGACGCAAAGGCTATTGTTAGCCGGGCTGCGACGGCGATGCTCGATGGAAAGACGGAGGGTCTGGGTCCGATCGACTCGTTCAATGCTGTTGAGATTCTCGTCGCCAGCCTCAAGACGCAGGGAGTGAAGGGGGAGGGTGGCATGATTGGACCGAGAAGCACAAGGAGGACTAGGAGGGGAATCGCATAAGCTTTGAATAGCAATTTGTAGACTGTCCAATATATTCTATCCTAGACTAAAAGCAAAGTGTAAATGTACTGGGTATAGTGTGATGATGTGCACTAGAGATGCCATGCTAAGATACTATCAAGTAGTGGAGCATCAATCGTAGGCCTGCGACTCATGTAACTACTTGAATCTACTAACCCATGAATCGCACGCATTTCGTAGGAATCCAGGGCATCAAAGCGCCTAACTAGCAAGCCTCTTCTATGTACCTTCTGACACCCATGCGAGTATGTGTGCTAAAGCGACGCTCATTCATCAGTCTCAAACCAGCGAGCCAGCTGTGCTACTCAGTGAGCACCACGCGGCGAAGCCAACGTCCTTGCATTCTCCAAAGCGACATCGTCCCGATCTCTGAGCGCAGGCGTGTTGCTCTCCTTGTTGAAGTCAAGCTTAGTGTTGGAAGAGGCATGTGTATGCGAACTTGCGGAGCTGGACTCGGCCTTCGTATGGGCAGCGAGGGGATAACTGGCTAAAGTCTTCGTTGCACTGCTAGCTTGCTTAGCAATGCCGCCCTGGTTGACGGTTTTGCTAGACTGTCGCTTAGTGCCGCCCTTCTTTTCATCATTGCCCTTTGGCAATGGTCCATGCATGAGGGCAATGATCTCGGCGTCACGTTCATAGTCTGTGAAGGACGAGAATGAAAGAGCCGAAGAAGGGTTTGATACTTGTAGAGTGACGGTCGTCGCATTATTCAACGGGGGAGAAGGGACTGGTGCCTGTGGAGTCGTCGTCGCGTCGTCTGACGGTGGAGAAGGATTGACGGGAATGTCCATGAGCTTCCTGTACTCAGCTGAGCAGTTGCGAGGATCGTTAGCTATAGTAGCCAGTATAATTTCAATGGCCATTGCGCTTACCGAGCTCAGTGACTGCGTCGCTTCGCGGCTTCGAGGCTCCGTTGCCCGTGTCAGAAGCATTACCCATGTCATCCTTCTGGTCGTCCGAGAAATGGATTGTCTTCCTACGCTTGTTGACACGAGCTTGATGTTCAGTGTCTGCTTGACGGCCGCTCTTGACCCATGCTCCGCGGTTGGCGTTCGCGATGGTATTGGTCAACGTGCTCTGGTACATCTTATGAGGTGCACCGACGATGTTCCACGCCTTTTCGTTCTTCTAGCATGGCATTAGTAACTTGAGAGTGCACTATATGGACCGGTGCGAACACACCATGAGGTTAGCAGCGACATTCTTGGATGTCTGTAGTAACAGTCAGCATGCCGTTTGTCGTACGCAAACGAGTATCGTACCCTGAGAACAGTGCAGATCCAGTCGATGCGCTCCTCAAAAGTCCACTCCTGAGTTTGACCGATATAGTTGACCAGGTTCTTGTCGTAAATCGGAGCTCTGAAGCCGTCGGTGTGTATGGATTTGGCCATCCGCTACGTGGCATGATCAGTAAGATTTCTGAACAGTTTCACAGCCATCAACTTACAACAATATCCCAAGCACATGCCTCGATTGCCCAATCTTGGTAGTACGATGCTTCGCCTAGGGTTAAACGTTTGCGGTAAGCGTTCTCTGCAGTATCCTTAGCCATGGACATATCTTTGAAAGCCCACAGAAGCTTTCTGACTACATCCTGATGGTCTTTGTCAGTCTGGGGGATAGTGCTGTCGAATACTGGTGCACGCCACTGAACGTTGTTCATAACAGCCTTTGCGTCAACCATATTCTGGAAGTAGAGGCCATTGAATTCAACAAGACTTTTGTCGAGGCATGCAGAGGTGGGAGGCTTGGGGCGATAAACAGGCTTCAAGTAGAGGCTTGGGCTTGTCAGGAGGTTCTCATTGAAATCTGGATGGGTGTTGTCCGAATGAGACTGGATAGTAGGAGTTGGAAGCAAGGTGTCGGTAGGCATCGTACTGCCCGCCTTGCTGAGAGTATCCCCGGCAAAGGTACGATTGAGGCCTTTATCCGGCATGATGTGACTGTTGCTACTAGATTGAGAAATGAGCCTGTAAAGAACGCAAAAGTTAGCCGAGAGTTTCCAGTCAGTATCTACAATCTAAGATTCCAGAGGTTCGACTGGGGGTCCTGCGGGTTCGTTGGCAGGTAGTGTAAAGAATGGGATAGAGGCTGAGATCAAAACATATATAACCCCAAAAATGGAGTGAATGAGGGTTTTTAGAAGGTGAAATTGGGGACGCGTGACACCTTTACCTTGAGGTTGCAACCAGAATTTTGAGTGAATCGGATTTCGCATGACAGCAGCAAACGCTACAATGTCACCATACGCCACTTTTAGTGAAAAAGAATGGTCAGCTGGGTTGTTGCCTTGTTTTAGAAGGACATGAATAGAGACCACTTGACTCGATATACTTGGTTAGGTACGAAAGTCGAGCGTTTGAACACGCCACAGTGGAAGAAGTTCCAAAATGGCGACATTTCCAGATGGGAAGCTCGCAAAGTGCGTATTTTGTACCGGATTTTATGAGAAGTGACGTATAGCAGGCTGACCTGAGTTGGGCGGTGCAGCATGAGAATTTAGCAAATGCGGTTGCTTGCTCGAACAGCAGTACAATGTGATCCATATATACGTAGAGGTGTGTATGCGATATAGTCTTTTTTCCAATTCTTGACTTCGCCGTTTGAGCCAGTCCAGTGTATGAGTTTTCTGATGATGTATATATCGAACATGTCGTTCGGTTTGGTTGGACAGTCGTCTTACGCGGCCGATAAATGATTGTATATATGTGTCGAAAATCTTGGTTCATGCGCGCGAATGGTTGCTTCAAGTATCATCCGGTAGTATCAGATACTTAAGACTACTCAGTATATTATGAACGTAATGGTAGGTGCTTCTTATATTGCTACTGCTCATTTCGTAAGAAACAAATTCGACTGATAATTATACTCATGGGAAAGCAAATTCGACAGATGAAATTACTTATAGTGGTCACTCATTGTTCATTATCAAGATAATTTGTTCACTATCAAGATCACTGTGAGGTAATCGAAGTAACTCAAAACCTAATTTTCACTGTGTAAGCCGCTCGAGAGCTGATACAATGTTGTGATTCTCACTAGTGGGTATAAATAGGATAACCGCGCTGACCAAGAGATCATGTGAAGATATTAGAAGTGCTACATATTTTCCAGAACCACAATGCCTGTCCTAACGTATCGATTCTTGATCGGTAGTTGCTTTTGGTATAGAGAATACATAGTATAGTCCAAAGACACTTCAATTTCCGATTTAATCATTATACATCCGAACATATCTAACAGAGCGCACATATTCAAAGCACGAGCGGAAAACCGTCTCGGCGTTATTCTACCCTCCAAAACAAGTCGCGTTTCCAGACCCTCGCAACGTACGTATTTGCATGCCAAGCACTTCCCTACGTACGTACTATTCGTATGTGTATTCGGTAGCCCTCCCCGCCTCCTAAACAAAGATGTCCGGGGCATTGCTTGTTAACTCGCTGATCAGGGTCCCGCTATCCGTAGAACTAACCTCTACCACAACACTTGGCCAAATGCTTTGTTCCGGTATTCGGGACAACTTTAAGCGAATCTATACGCTCGTGGGCCTTTCCTTAAAGAGACCAGTGCAGTAGTAGAAGGCGCGTCCTATTGGGAACTACATATGTTCTTAGCCAAAAAAGGGAAGCTAGGTTGTGCCAGCGACTCTAGAATCAGCCGCATTACGGCAAGGTGCACATGAGATAGATTAGATAAATGGCGTGAAAAAAGACCCCGTGGGGTGCTAGCGAGGCTAATAAATTAAGTTGCCAAGACGAGTCCAATGCTTGTTTTGGTATGTATTTCTCCGTACGCTGCGCGAGCTAAATTGTATTCGGGCTTTGTTAAGAACGCGCGTTGCAGTAATCTAAGCCGGACGAGCTAGTGAGACATCAGCTGTTCGTGGCATATTCAGACAGCAAGTACATAGTAGTAGCATCAGCAAACAATCGAAGCGAAGTTGTAGTCTTTTGGTGTTTGAAAAAAACATGCACGGCATGTATTAATATGTGCTGAGAAAAAAGTTGTATATACACTAAGAATCCAAAATCCAAAAGTCCAGACCACCGTCTCAAACTCTCCAAGCTCACATCTATCCTACCAACTGCGGGTATGAGGCGTCTAGCAAGCCTTGATGGCGGAAGCGGTGTACTTGCAGTTGGCGGAAGGACCCTTGGAGACGGAGGAAGGCTCGTTTCCGGGGGTGGTACCCTTGAACTCCTCGCAGATGGTCTTGACGGAGGTAGCGCAGGTGTTGGTGATGGTGGAGCTGTCACCGAAGTTGGGGTTGATGCCAGTCAGGACCTTTCCGTTGTAGGCCTTGACGTTCTTGACGACAACGCTGCGGGTGACGCTGTTCTTGCAGTTACCGCAGGCACGGTAGAGCTTGCCGAAGTCCATGACGGCTGGGATTAGTTAGCATTTGAAATTGTCGTTGATGAGGAAGTAGGGGTGAACTTACTGAAGCCGTCAATGGTAACCGTACCCTTTCCGTTGTGCTGGACGACCTTGTCAGAGGCAGCCTGGGCACCTCCGCCCTTGACCATGGCGCTACCGTCGCCCTTGATAGTGAGAGCATCCTCGCAAACGTCGACCCACCAGACGTTCTAGTTGAAATTAGCTAATCATTCTTGCACGGAATAGACAGATATCTTACCTCGATAGTGCAGGAACCCTCGCAGTGGACACCCTCGATCTGGTCCTTTCCAATGATGGCGTTCTTGAGAGTACCACCGTTCTTGATGATGAAGACAGCGTCCTTGTCGCCACCCTCAGCCTGACCAGTGCAGCTGACACCACGGCCATAGGTCTTCATGCCACCATCGAAGGTACCACTGACAGCCTGAGCAGCCTTAAGGGTAACGGATCCCTTGGAGGCTGGGACGGGGAGAGAGGCGCGCTTGGCAAGGGCGAAAGCATCGGCGGGGGTGGGGGCAGCAGGGCCAGCGACGGCGAGGCCAGAGGCAGCAGCAATGACGGCAATGGAGAACTTCATTTTGATGGAGAGTTTGTTGATTTGGGGTGCTTTGGAAAAAGTAGTATGTAGCACGAATAGAAGCGATTTGAAGATGAAGAGAGCGTTGTATGCGTCAAGCAAAAGAAGGACTTAATGGATTTGATGTTGGATGCTCTCTTCTTCATGGGGTGTTTGTTGCACTTATACTTGTTTCACTGCCGCTCCCGCTCTCCAGCAATTGCTCCGAAGGCGTTCCAGGTACAGACGGTGGAATGTCTCCCCAGTGGGGATTGTGACCAAAGCGCAGTGCATCATGCGTCTGAATCAAAGAGCCTGAGGAGGTGCTTTGATTGGACGCCGCGCCTCACAGATGGCACCTGTTTCGTGGAATGTAGGGCTTCATGGCGAGTCGAGTCGATTTGGGCTAGAAACAGACTGCCGCGCCGACGCTAGCCCGTGGAAAGATGCCAAGCTGTGTCTTGAAACCGTAAACAGGTCCACATCAATCCCGTTCATCTGGGACGCCAAGGCGCGCGACAATTTCCGCTCTCCAGATAGAACGCCTGGCCAGTCAAGCAATTTTCCGCCACCTCACGGTTGAATTGCAAGTCATTCGCGACTCAAGACATGGGACACGGGACGGGTGGTCACGCTAGAATGCACACTTGATCAAGTGAAGATTGTTCCGCTGCCCCTCCCTCCCTTCCTCCCTATGTCAGTGCCCCGTCGGTACCAAGTTCATTTAAGCTCAAAACTACGCAGTGTATCTTGGCATAGCGGGCCTTGTATTAGGGGTGGGGTAGACAATGGGTCCTCTAGTTCTGCTCTATCGATCCTGCAGCATCTCATCTATGCCTTTATGCGACTAGTGAAACTTCTTCCAGTATCTGAATGACTGGTTCCACTCCGGATTCTGGAATATTTTCCGATAGGTCCAGATTCTTGTCTTGTGTTTGGCGCAATCTCACAATGCCATGGAATTATAGATTGGTGGCTGGATTTGCATAGGAAAATCTGTTTCCGCCTACGGGCTTATGGCGTTTCATTAACAGTAGCCATGTTTCTCAATAGTTGGACGTTGCAGTGTGTCGACTCGTGGGGCCGCGTGGCATAGAATTGTTATTCAGAAGGACCGAAGAATACTAAATGAATCAAACATTGCAATGATACTTGGATATGATTGCGTAGCGTGATCCATCGATGGAACTGATAGCCAAGGTGCCTGGCTGAGAAGATTTTGCGCCAGTAGGCTGTCAAGGAGGTGGCTGTTTCGAGTTCTCGCGAAGCCAGATAGGTCACCTGAGCCCCGTGCGCTTCCCATTGCAGAATGTCACATGACAGCCATGTCAAGGTGATGCCAGAGTTCCGTAAGCCGCTGTCAACACTGGAAACATTCTGGAAGTGCATGCTTCTTCTTTCGGCTATCGGGATTTAGAATACATGTTTCCTTATTTCATCGGGGATCTTGCGTTCTATTATCAAGGTTCCACATTCTTAAATTACAATGCCCAACACGGCTCACGGACATGCTCGTCTGTTCCGTAGACGCATGCAGCTACCCGAAAACTGCGGGCAATGAAACCCGTCCTGCCAAGCAAATTCCTGGTAATGGCTAAACAAGAGCAGTAAGTAAACCGCTAACCAGGTTTTCTTGGAGATTCGTTATGCAAACCATGAAGACTATGAAGAACAATGAACACTAGGAATTCTCAACCGTATAGGGGGGCTGTGCAGCAGATGTTCCTGAGTCTGCCTTGTATCATTGGCGGAATTACTTGGATGCCTAGGCACACATCGTCACAACCTCAAGTTTCTTGGCTCAGGAGTATGTGAATATTGAAAACGGATCGGGCCTTTCCAATCTAGAATGAGGTACAACGTTCGGTAAGTAGTTAATTTAAAGATAATATCTGTGTACAATCGCGAAGGCCATCTCACGAGTCGCCCTACCATCTCCATAATTTTCCCCGGCAAACCTGCCAAACAGTTATTTCCCACATCATGCTGTACGTACGTCGCTGCAAAGATGTCTCTTCATCTCAGAGCCTACATAAGTATGGCGGACATATCTCTTCATGTGCCATGTTGAAGATGACTTGATTACCTCAAACGACCTTAAGAATGAAAAAAGGTGTTCCCACCCAACAATTCCACCAACAAATCTTCTTTCTTCAAATCATTCAGTCATGTTAAGATGTACGGCCGTATACTAAGACATGAATGTTCCCTGCGCTTGCGCCTCGTTTGTACAAACATGCTTCCAGAATCTTGGAATCGCCCGTTGAGAAAACACCCCAACGCTGTGACAAGGAGCGGACAAAATCGGGCCAAGCAGGCAAAACGACAGATCGAAGATCGCGAAATGGGTCTGGCCAGTCGAAGGGTGTAAATGTGTCATAATGAGCAATTGGAGTGACCCAATGAGCTCAAAAAGTCGAAGCTCGACATGTCCATGCTCAGGCCATCCCTTCCCGTGCCTCCTTTCTCAAGATTTAGTTCTGAGAGCGCATAGCAGAGTTGCTCCCAATCGCGATTATATCCAAAAAAATCTTGCTCTTTCGCTGCTGTATGTGCTGCTAATTTCCACACCGAGTAACGCAAATCAGGCATGCACAACCCCCCTTTTCCCCACTTTTCCTCGATGAATCCAAATGAACATCCTATAACCAGTTTTTCCCATGGGAAATATCATAGGGTTATCAATCGTACATGAAGAATCGACCATGATATTAGGCGCTGGAAGTGTGAGGTGAATTTTAAGTTCACTTATCGGACAGGGATGGACCCATTATGATGCCGCCCGCTAGGTTAAAAAAAACGTTGACCCCTATTCATGTCTGCAATCTGCAAGGACTACTTGTTAGATGCATTCCTCCGACATTCTGACAGTACTTTCCTTGCAGTAGAAAACCGGAGCCTGCAACATCGCTTTTTGCACAATGGACGGTAACGTACTTTTTTTTGGTTTTGTCCCCACTATCATACACTCGGCTTAGGCCGCACGTACGGCTCCGAATCAGGTGGCAGATACTGTGGACATATGCTAAATGGAATCGCGCCCTTTTCAGCTAGGTATCTCTTGTATTCCAGTGCTTTACCGAGGACTTGGGCTTGATTGATGCCGAATTCTTTTTGCACGCGCGTCATGCATTTTGCGACGAAGTTTTGGCTTTCTGGGGATGCGATGGGCGTGGAGCCAGCCTGTGGAGGGCAAAATGGTTGGTGAGGACTAATCTGATGATGCGGCAGATAGAGGGGGAAATACGTACCACATAGAGGGCCCATACAGTTGAGTAGCCTCCTGCTACACGGATAATGGGAAGTCGGCCTTTGACTGAGCCGGTGCCGATGAGGGCTTTGACAACGCCTGATGGCATGCCTTTGAAGTTTTGATCAAGGGTCTTCAAAGCAGTCTGAAACTCTGCAGGTGATTTTGGAGGAATTTTTGGAAAAGCTGCGGTCGCTGGCGACGCGCTGAGTTTATCCCCAACAGATGTCGGAGTTGACTTGTTGCTAGTGTAATCTGACGCATCGCTTGGTACTTCGCCAGGTACATCGTGTAGGAATTGCGGCATACCGGCCAAGATATCCGATTGTAAATTATACAAGGTACGGACACTTGTTTCCAGTTGTTCATGGTACTTTGCTCCAACAAGGGCTGGTGGTGTAGACGCGAAGCCTGCTAATATACAATTTCGGATAATGTCATGAAAATATATTCTGTTGTAGCGCACCCAGTTCCAAGTTTGAGCGGCTATTGCCGTGTGGTAGATATGGTAGAAGTGGTCGAAGATTTCTGGTCGTTTCTCGCATAGTACAATATCGTAGTCCCATTCTGGCCCTGAGTCTTTGAAGATATTGACTGCGATGTTATCGAGCGCAAGCGCTGACTCTATAATGTCGGGTAGTGAGTGGGTTTGCTGGTTCAAAATGCGTGCTCGAAGGTCGATGGTTTTGATATGAAGAAAGAAGAAGCGGTTTCTAGGGTCTTTGATGTCCAAGTGCTTTATGACTTCAGTGTTGAGGTCGTGAACAAATTTGGGGAGGGGCATGCCCTTTCCCATGCAGTTCATGGTAAGAAGCCCAACAGTATGGAGGTACATACGCTGCCCAGCTGGGGTTGAAAACTGGTCCATGCCTCGCATCTTGATGAGGGAGGCAGCACCTTGGACATGGTTGCTCCACCCTTGTAAACTTGTCTCATTGGAAGTCGCTTCAACCATGCCCAAGAGATTAATAGATGCGAGAGTGCTATCGGCTGTGACAGCTGTAGGGGACGATATGGCAGCGTTGGTCCTCTTGATGGCATCTAGATACCAGCGAGTGGCTTCACGCTTTAGGAGAGGATCCATGTACAGGTTTGCTATTCCAGCGATGCCCAGAGCTGTCATGGATGTGGAGACCAATGGATGGAAGCCATGCGTCGACAGATATTTCGAGTACTCATCGGACTGTACAGGCGGCTGATCAATGCCAAGCGTATAGTAGGACATGAAGAAGGAAATTCCTTGATCGATGAGTGACGCTGTTACGGCCGGCGTTGGCGATTGTTGGGCTATTATGTGTAAGTAAGCTTCCCGCAGATTACGCGCCTCGATTTCATCCTGAGCATCACGAGCCGCGATAGCTTTTGCCTTTGCCTTTTTTGCCTTTGCTTGAACATTCGCTGTTTCATCGTGAAAGAAGTTGTCAATGTTGCGATCGTATCCTGGGCATTGGAGATGGCGATCAGAGCATTTGACGCAGCCACCGGGGCGCTCATCACACTGTGGTTTCGTTTAGGTAAGTGTCTTGCATTCAAGGTAAACCGAGCTCACAGCTTAGTACGCACTTTAATTCTACGCTCACGACATTTTTTGCACCCAGTAGAAGGCCGGCCACGATACACCATACCGACAGCTTCCGAGCTTGAGAACGTGCCTTCGTATACTTTGAAGGAAGATGATGGGTATATCAACAAACAACAGAAATATTGTCACCTAGAAATAGATTGCGAAAGCCGTTACAAGGCTGTAGGATAGTTTACAGGCACATAGTATAAGGCTTAGCTGTTGATGTGGCTGTGCAGGGGCCATGGTGGGCGGTCACCGGAAGGCCCGAAGACAAAGCCTCTTCGGTACACACGTCAGATATTGTTGATATGGAAGGCCTAACGCTAAAAATATGCCATGTGTCAGTGAAAAAAAGGTACTGGTGTGGTCTCTATAGATTTGAATAGAACAAAGGTAAGGTGGGTCGTTTTGCAATGGGAAAAGAGGGTGTGTGAATAATTGAACATTTCTGCTTGTTCCTGATGATTGATAGTGATTATATACATTGTTATTTTAGCTTACGTCATCGAATAACCAAAAGGCGTTGTGGCGGAGTGGTTATCGCGCAAGACTAGAAATCTTGTTCCTTCGGGAGCGTCAGTTCGAATCTGGCCAACGTCGTTTTTTTGCGTATTGAACATTACAGAACATCCTAACTAGTTGGAAATGTTTTTTTTGCTTAATCGGGGTTCTTTCCGTTGTTGCGGGTGTGGTTTGAGTTTCCCAATGGCTATAGTCATAACCATAGTTATAGTATTAATATTTATCATAACAACCATCATTTTATTAATAACCCAACGCCTTGCCTATATAGTCCCACAATAACAATATTACTCCAAAGTAAAAGAGAGAAAAAAGAAGGACATGACCTCATGCTATATAACTATACCCAAGAGAATGTCTGAAACCTAGTAGTAGTATAGTATCCTCCTTAGACCTGACCATCACACACGCCAGCATGACAATACTTTCCGCAACCTTGTTCCCAAGTCCAGGCCTTGACATCAGTAGTACTTTCAGCATAGTCATAATTATCGTGATCATCATCATCATAATGACGTTGACGTGTCTTTCCCTGGTGATGATGACTCCAAACACCATTGCCACACTCATAAATGCAAGTGCAGTACTCTGAACCATTATCCTGGCGGGTGCACAGGGAGCGGTCGCCCGTCTGTTTCGCGTACAAGGTACCCAGACTAGCTATGGAGATGTCTGTGCGGGGGGTTAGAGAAATATCTAGGTTTAATAATAATAGTAGTAGTGGGGTTGGTAGAAGGGTTTGATTGGTTTGGTTGGGGGGCTGAATGATGTTGCGAGGAGAGTGTTGGGGGGGGGGGAAGACGCACTGAGGTTCTGCATGAGTTCCCAACCACACGCTTTCTTCTGCGATGTTTTGGGGGTGTCTGCGATGGAGGCAGAGACAAAGGAGAGTGGTAGGAATAGCATTGCGATCAACATGCTTATGGAGATTTGATGCTTCATGGCTGTGGGTGATGGCTGCCAAAGAATAAAAAAGAGGCGAGTAGATGTGTAAAGTTTCAGGGCTAGTCGCAGCGTTGAAAGGTGTTTGGCGTCGGGTTTGCTTCTTTTACCGGCGAGTAGAACATGTTCATGAGAGGCGGTGTTTGCACGCACACGTGGCTAGTTGCAGGCCGTGCGACCAAGCCACAACGGTGTGAAGAGACGTGCATCGAATATCGTTGTCGTATCAAGGCGTTATGTGTCACTTGGCAATCACACGATTATCACGGGAATGGTTGATATGCGGACTAATGGTAGCAGTATATGCGGAACACCAAGTAGTTTGTTCATAGTAGTATCCCATGGTAATATGATCATCGAGTGGTCAATGTGATACCCCGAACGCCTCGCTATGCAAATGGGTATCAAAGACTGTCTAGCCAGCAAGAAAACAAAAGACAAAACGCCGTAGAGGTAAAATCAAAACCATGCAAGACTCCAGAGCGCGGGCATGTTTGGCCAGCGCTCTTGCCATGTAGCGAGAATCTCGGGCACACGCTCGTCAAAGCCGGAACGAGCAGCACCGCCACCAGACTGCCATCCGCTGTCACCATGTATCTCTCGCTCTTGTGCAGCAGCTTCATTCAGACTGAGAGCAAGATCTAGAATAGCTTTGCCGCCAACGAGGGCTTCCTCGTGGTTGTCCTTGATGTCGACATTGAAGACGTGAACAGGCCGGTTGAGCTTTCCGCCCTTGTTGTGTAGATCCTCGAGCACGGCATCAAAACAACGTTCTTCACAGGTAATGACGACGTCTACTACTCCAGCCTCAGTACCTTGGGAGCCCTTGTCTTCGGCATGGTCAAGGCGAGGCTTGCCGGGTACCCAGTCCTGGAAGCGCTCAGGGTAACCCTTGATATTTAAATTACGACCCAACATGTTGAGCAGGCCATTGTTTGTGTACAGAGCGGCGTTTTGCTCGGCGAGCTCATCATGGATGGCACGGTAGGTTGTGCTATTAAAGTGATACACATTGGGCTGGGTGATTGTCGGCCCGGGCAGACGCACGAGTGAGCCGGTGCCGAAACTGATAGTTGGGAGATGGGCCGAGGCCAGTTGGAGATGAGCCTCCATGGAGCTGACCGAGTTAGGGTCAAGGTGTGGGAAGAGCAAGGCACGTACATACCGATTCTGGTTACTAGCACATACAGTGCAGAATTTTAGCTTGAAGCTGTTGTCGGGGACTACATTCTGGTCTGGCTGGGCGTCACCGGCACCGTCCATGCCCACAGACTGGGGTTCGGCGGGCGGGGGCGGAGGAGGTGGAGGCACAGCTGTAGGCGTCGCCTGTTGCTGCTGCTGCCTCGCGCGTAGTCGTGGGTCGGCCGACATTTTTTTTTTCGCGTCTTTGGGTGCAGCTCTGCAAATTCTTCACCAAAGTCAGTTGTGGTTCTACATGTTTGGATGCAGCAACAGTGGCGGTGATCACGCGAGGTTCAGAATTTTCAGTGTATATTATTATTGAGAGTCCTCAAAGGCTAGTGCCTAGGACAGCTCCAATATGTGTTCATCATCTCACAGGCAGGGCGGGCAGCGGGAAGGGGCGGGCGCAGAGGGGGGGATTGGAGACGTACAGTATACAGGAGTAGTGTTCGCAGTCATAGCCCCCGAGACGAAGGGGATGAGGTGGAGGACAAAGGGGGTTGATGGGGTGTTGGATGTTTGCTTGTGAAAGGCACGAAGCCAGTGGAGGAGCAAGCTTTGTCGAGCTCAGCAAGTCATTATGGTGTAGCGGAGCTGACTAAGCGGGCCGTGCTCGAGGCTACGCGCAGGCGGGGCAGGCCGAGTCCCAAGCGTCACGCACACCCAAACGGCGCAATGGAGGGGCTACTAATGTTGCGACTACGACTGTCATAACTACTGCTAATGCTGCTAAGTACTGCTGCTAAGTACCATGATACTACATACATGCATGTATACCATGGCACCCGAGCAAGTGTGCCGTGGGCCCGGCGCCGTGCCATGCACATGGGCCTCGCTTCCTGTTCCTGGACGCTGTCGCTCTCGGCCGGGCGGGCTTGTTGGGCGTGGTGAGATTCTGCTCGGTAGGTGAGTATTGCGCAAGCAGGGCGTCTGTGGCCCGATCAGGACGCGGCGCGGCTCGGCCTGCCTGTCAGACAGCGTGCTAGAGCAGGGACATGGAATTCAGCAACACAGGCCGGGCAGGTTATGCGTTTGGGAGAGCGTTGGAGCGTGACAGTATACGGTGAAGGCTGGCCAGGGAAGTTCCTCGCTGCCGTTCAAGCACAGTCGGCGTGGGTCGTCTGCAAGCAGCTAGTCCCCCGCGCCTGAAACAATCTAGAGGCCAACAGGGCTAAGCCGGAGCGGTTTGCAAGCCTCCAAGGCTGAACTGAACACACGCAACAACACACGCACGCACACAGACACACACAGACATAGCCTAGTACTATCTCGATTACTACTCCTACTACTCCTACTACTCCTACATGGCATGAACCATTGTGCTGCTCCTGTGCTCTATCCACCACCGCCACGTCCACTAACACCACCACCACATGGCTCTGCACGCCCGCAGCGCCTTGGACTGATTCTGAAACACAGAACCGGCGTCTAGCATGTCCCCCGCCAGCCCGTCCCAAAAATAGAGCATCCATTCTCAACCCGCCTTCGTCCACCACGCGCCACTCCACTGACTGCACTCGACGCTGTGCCCTCGCTCCCTGCCGAGACACTCCCGAAGCCTCGACATTATCCGTCAGGCGCGCAACTGTTGCATCCTTCACTGCCAAGCCCTAGCGCCAGTCCTGTGCCTGCACCCCCACAATCCCATCCACTCCTTCTCCAGCCGCTTCACTGCCCAAACATTCTTCTCCCACACGGACCCTCCCCCCAATCGCCACGCCCGCCTCTCCCAAGCCCTCGAGTGCGCCCGCCAACCCATTGGCCGTCGCCCGCCTTCTCCCATCCACACACGCCTACCTGGTTCCACTTGCGCCGCCATCTCCCAGAACCGCTCCCGGCCCAGCCTCAGAGCCCTCATCTTTGGCTCACTCCAGCCCTGCTTGTGCGCCTTGCTCCCCGGCCCACCCAGCGCCAATTGCGCCGGTGCTCTCGTGTACTCATTCCCGATTACGCCAACTTTATCCGTCTGGTGCGCCGCCGCTGCTTTGCAGCCCGCACTGCCCACTACACTGCCTTCTGCTGCGCTTCCAGCAGACCATATAGACCACCGCTGACTATTCAGTCTCGACTCTAACCCCCAAATCTATTGCGCATGACCGGCACCGGCACCGCTCCAGACACGCCTGTCTACACCCAACGGCTAGACGAACCCACGGAACCGGCTGCAGTGTGCGCACATCAGCCTGACCAAAATATGGCTGCCGATGTCCTATCTCCACGTAGCGACCCGAATGCTGCGCAAACAGGCGTGAACCGCACCTCACTGCCCCCACTCGTCACCTCCCCGCCTTCCAAGGCCAAGCTTGAGCGCGCCAGTTCCTACCTCAACAAGCGCCTCTCAACCTTCTCAAACATCTCAAACATCTCAAATACATCAAACACCCACCAGTCGGTACGCTCACGGCCGCAATCAACCGCCTTTCCCATTTTCCACTCGAGCCTGCCCTACTCACTGGTGCGCGACTTTGCTTACGACCCGCTCCATCCTCTGTTCTATGGCCCCCTCCCAGAACAGCCATCAGACATATCCACTCCCGCAAGCGAGCATAGCCGGAGACTTTCGGACCCACCCCCGGTAGCATGGCGCAACGAACGAAGCGGCTGGTCGGCAGGGTCGTGGGATGAGAAGGAAGGCGAACAACTTCCCCAGACCTCATACGACGGAGGCCCACCATACAGCGAGGACGAAGATATCTCCAGCCCCGTAGTCACTAGCCACCACGGCGCACGACACAAGAAGCACAAGTCCAACATTGTTAACTTTGACCACACACGCGGGCGCAGAGGATACCCGGAAGAACAACGGCGTAGCTCCATTCTGCCCCTCAATGGCGACAGCAGCCAATTCGTCAACGACGATACTGCTAATGGTTCCAGCAGCGAGTACATTACATACCCGCCAGAGTCATCCCGACTCGGCGTACCCGAAGGTGCGTCACGACGTGATTCTCACTTTGCGACCACCCTGCCGCCACGTGCCTATGCCGACGCCGACACAGCCCTCCAACAAGGTCCACCATACGATTCAGACGACGACATGTCCGAGCCTGAAGACTACATATACGACGACAGCCGCTTCTCACGCGACTACCAGTTTACCATTGCTTCACCTGACGAAGAGATGCACGGTAAGGCAGTTGCCTTATTCGACTTTGCTCGCGAAAATGACAACGAACTACCGTTGGTAGAAGGCCAGGTCATCTTAGTATCATACAGACACGGTCAAGGCTGGCTAGTGGCCCAAGACCCAAAGACCGGGGAGAGCGGTCTAGTACCTGAGGAGTACGTGCGCTTACTCCGCGATATCGAAGGAGGCTGGAACGGCCTAGTAGGTGCCATTCATTCGCAAACCGAATTACAACTTCCCGAAGGCAAGCACGGACCAGAAAGTCTGCTGAGCCCTGTTTCTGCTGGGCCAGAAGCCAAGACGCCCACACAGGCTGATCATCCTCAGAACTATACTCCGGTCATATCGACCTTCTCAACTAGCCACAAGGACCTTGAAAAGTACCCTACCGAAAGGCTTGGAACACCCACTACTACCGAGGGCAGTGTCTTTTCACGAAGCAAAGACGGTAGTGCTATGGAGGGTGTAGAGACGACTCCGGAACCGCAGTCTCAAGAACAGAGGTTGTGACTTCGACATGACAGCTTGCTCCCGTTACTATGAGGGTGAGCGTCTAGACACTCGAGCAGGGGATTCCAACCCACCTCATAACTACCGGGGGACAACCATCCCTCCATACGGCTGTGCCATCAGCCCAAACGCCAGGACCGAGAAATTGTAGCAACTCTGACTCACCAGAAGGCCTACGCAGTACACGAGCATTCAAAACCGCTTTATTTTTCAACACGTTCGCTTCGACCCCTTGTCTTATTTCTAGCCACATTGACGAATG